GAGGCATTCCGGTCTCCAGCCGCCACCACCACTACCCCGCTTCCACCCCACGCCGGCGCTCACAAAGGTCCCCATTGAAGCCCTGTGCACAAAGCAGCCCATTCACCCCGACTCCTGGGGCCTCCTGCCCCTGGCCGCCCCCCGCGCACTCGTCATTGGTCGCGTCCCCTGCCCGTCAGGGCTCGGGTCCCACCCACCACCGCGCCGCCAGGCTCGGCGCTCGGCCGGGATCTTTTCCCACGCCTGGCACCCTTCGGTAACTTCTCATTGGCCCTGCCCACCAGCCGCTCGTCTTGATTGGCGGTCGCCGGCCCCCATGGGCGGAGCCGCCTCTTGCCGCAGCGGACGCCGATTGGACCCTCGTGTGCTCGTGGGGGCGGGGCCGTCCGGGTGGGCCCGCCCCTCTTTCTCCTCAGGCCGAAGCCTCGGGACGGCTTCTGGAAGCCGGTGAGTCTCCCCGCCCGGGGGGCCGGCCGGGCCTGCTGAGGTGGCGGAGCGAGCCAGGCCACGGCCAGACGAGAGGCTGGGGGGCCAGACGGGGGCCCGGCGCGGGCGGCGGGGGGCCAGGCGGGGACGCCGACCCGCACCTCGGGCGCGCTGCGGGGCGCGGGGGCGCCGGCCACACACGCCCACCCCGCGGCCCCCCGGGGGCGCTCGGCCTCCTGCGGGGTCTGCGGGGTCCTCGGTCGGGGTCCTCGCCGCCCCGCTCCGGGGTCAGGGCCGCAAACGGAGGGCGACGAGGCTCCAGTCGGCACCTCGGAGACTTCAACACCTGAGTCATGCCCTCGCCTGCGGGCTCTGGGAGGGCACCCCCGGGTCTCCTGCCGAGTTGGGGCAGCCCGGTGGTCGCGCAGCGGCCTAGCCCGCTACTTGGGGGCCACGTTAGCCCCCAGGAATGGGAAATGAGGACTCAGGGTGGGGGCTCCACTCCTGCCTGCCTCTGCAGCGGCTGGGAACCCAGCGCCCCCTGCGAGCTTTGGGCACCAGCTCCTCCACTCGGTGCCTCAGGAATGAATGGAGACCTCCCTGATGGCTGAGGTGATTGTAGGAGTCAAACTCAGGAAAACCCTGCACACGCACTGCGTGCTGCACCTGTCACCCACCCAGGGACCCGAGCGCACTGTTGTCTTGTTCTTGCGGTATCGCATTCCAGGGGTGGCAAAACAGAGACCCAGACAGGCTAAGTGAGGAAGCAGTCGCCTGGGGGACCTTTGCTTCGCGTGGTCTTTCAGCGAAGAAAAATAGCGAGATTTTAATCCCGGGGGTCCTCAGGGCGCTTGGTGTGGGTGCACGTGTGGGTTCCTGACCTTTCCAAACCCCGAGGAGAAAGGAGGAGCGGAGAAAAGGAGAAAGGAGAGGGGGAGAGGAGAGGAGGAGCAGCGGGAGAGGAGCAGAAGAGGGGCAGAGGAGGAGGTGGAGCCCCTGGCACCACCGCCCACCTGGCCGCGGGCTCAGGCCCCGCCCCTTCCCAGCCCGGCAGGTGCAGGGTGACGTCAGAGCCCGGCCCCCGCCCCGCCCCGGCCCGCGCTGGACCGCCGGGGTAGACTCACCTGAGGGCTCCGAAGCGCCCGGGATCCCCGCGCCCCCTCCCCGTCTCCCTGCTGCCCCGCCGGCTGGCGTCCCCAGGTAACCCCGCGGGTCCCCGGCCCGAGTTCCGGGAGGGGGGCGACACTGGCGTGTGAGTCTGGCGGAGAGGAGGATCCCACGCGCCCTGACTCCTGGCGTTACCAACCTGGTCTCAGGCCTGAGAAAGACGCCGGAGCTGAGACTCCTGGGTTAGGAGGGGAAAAAAGGACGGTCCCAGCCCAGTGTTGGGCTCCTGGGTGTGAGGGAGGAGAGTTTGGCTCTGGACCCTTGGTCTGAGGGAGGAGGTGCTGGGCTGGACCCCTGGGTGTGAGGGAGGAGGGGCTGGGCTGGACCCCTGGGTGTGAGGGAGGAAGGCTGGGCTGGACCCCTGGGTGTGAGGGAGGAGGGGCTGCACCCCTGGGTGTGAGGGAGGAGGGGCTGGACCCCTGGGTGTGAGGGAGGAGGTGCTGGGCTGGACCCCTGGGTGTGAGGGAGGAGGGGCTGGGCCCCTGGGTGTGAGGGAGGAGGGGCTGGGCTGGACCCCTGGTCTGAGGGAGCAAGGCCTGCCTCTGTACTGTGGCACCAGGTTGAGGTCAGAGGCCTGGATGCCGAGGTGGGGGCCACCCTGGCTTCAGGGGTGGCTCCCTGGCTGCTTTTCCTTTTCCAGCCCAGCAGTGGCCGCCCCGCCCAGGGCAGGTGCTTTCAGCTGCCCAGGTGACAGTAATGAGCCCTGGCAGCGCCTTCCTGCTGGCTGAGGCAAGGTGGGGCTGCTGCAGGGGCTCAGCCTGGGAGCCAGGGGACGGGCGGTGCAGTCACCTGTTCTAGTCTGTGGCTAGTCCCAGGAACCCAACAGCTTCACCTGTAGTCCCTCCATGGTGATGTACAAGGTCCCCACTTATGTCCCACAGCAGGAGGGTCCAGTACTCCAACTCATGTGCCCTGGCACATGAAGGACCTAGGGGACACGACCTCCTGAGCCTGCTGAGGGCAGAGAAGGCTGGGGGCCTGAGCTCCTTGCTCCTTAGAGAGGAGGCTCCCGGCTGAGTGATTGCGACAGGTGCCTGACACTTCCTGGTCAAAGGCCACCAGGCTGGAGAGGATGTGGGACGGGAGTGGGGGGTAAAGTCCTGTGGATGGAGCTTGGCTCTGGGTGGGTCTGGGCTGGGGCCTGTGGGTTAGATGCTGGCTGCTCACAGAGGCCAGGGACCAGCGTTTGTTATCTCAGTGCTGGGGCTCAGGGTGTGAGGAGAGGGGCTGGGAGGGTGAGCTTCCTCAGGGGAGAGGGGTGTCGGGGCCCGGATGGCTTGGGAGCTGGCTGTCTAGAAAGGGTTCTCCCCAGGGCTGAGGAGGGTGGGCAGAGGTGGAGGCACCGGAGCGAGGAGGTCGCAGTGTCTGGGGTCATGACACAGGCACTGAAGTAGCCCAAACTGTCCAGGAGGGCATTGTCTTGGCCCTGCCTGGGCACTGCCTCCCATGTCCTGCCCCACCTCTGCCCATGGCCCCTGGAAGGCAGGGTGGAGCCAGGCAGTGCTGGCACCTGCAAGGCCCCTGTTGCCTCTGTGACAGCAACAGCCACAGCTACTTCTGATTGTCTGGGACCAGGGCAGGCTCGGCCCACACACCAGGGCCTCTCAGCCCATGGCATCAGAGGGCAGGCCTGAAAAGGGCTGCATGCAGGAGAGCCAAACGGGGGCAGGGAAGACAAAGTGTAGGGGTAGGCAGGCAGTGAGTGCCTAGTCTGTCCTGCAGGTATGGGGCAGGTATGACCAGAGGTGGTCGGGCACCTGAGGAACAAATCCGATGACCTTCTTTCTGGACCCACATCTCAGACACAAGCGCCAAATAGCATCTGTGGTGCCCGATCTTATCTTGCCTCAACGCCCTCTCCCTCTGGCTCACACAGCTGCAGCCACTCTGGCTGCCCAGCCCTGTCCTGCCTCAGGGCTTTTGCACCAGCCACCTGGAACAGTTCTCCTGCCCCTGCCCCGCCTGCTCCCTTCACACCCCAGGCCGTCCTCCACGCCCCCCCCCCGGCCCCTGCCACACTCTGTAATTCACTCATGTATTTCTCTGTCCCAGAGTGCCTCTGTGCCGTAGAAAGAAGGGCAAGCATATCACTTCAGATTCCCACATGAAATAGGGCAGAACACAAAGGGACAGCTGGCATGGATGCTAATGATATTTTATTTAACCCAGTGTATCTGAAGTGTGGCTATCGCAACATGCCAGAAAATTATAAAAACCTCAGTGGGCCATCTTTCTGGCATAGAGACTGTTTAAAGCTGTTGCTGACTCCGCAGCCTCGGCGTGTTCATGCACTCCTTTGCAAGTGTGCAGTTGCCAAGCAGATCTGTTAAAAAGAAAAGATTTATGTGTTTTTATTTGCAAGGCAGAGTTAGCAATTGAGAGATGAATTTTCCATGTGCTGCTCACTATCCAGGTGACTTCAGTGGCAGGGACTGCACGGACGGAAGCCAGGAGCCTGGGGCTCCAACCAGGCCTCCCACAGGGTGACAGGGGCCCAAGCACTTGAGCCATTGTCCCCCGCTTTCCTAGGTGCGTTGGCAGGGAACTAGATCAAAAGTGGAGCTACATAGCTGGGCAGGTACAGTACTGGCCCCAGCCAAATGAGTCTATTTGAGCTTAAATTGAGTTAAAATGAAATAAAAATGTTAAATATTTATTTATTTTCTATTAGAAATATAGATTTACAGAGAGAGGGAGAGACAAAAATATCTTCCATCCGTAGATTCACTCCCCAAGTGACTGCAGTGGCTGGAACGGAGCTGATCCGAAGCCAGGAGCCAGAAGCCTCTTGTTAGTCTCGCACGCGAATGCAAGGTCCCAACTCCACTGCTTTCCCAGGCGGCCACAAGCAGGGAATTGGTTGGGACATGGAGCAGCCAGGGCATGAACGAGCACCCAAATAGGATGCTGGCACCTGCAGGCAAACAATTAGCCTGTTGAGCCATGGTGCTGGCCCCCAGAATAAATTTTTTAAAAATTTATTTCTTGTGATACAGTTCCACAGGCACAGGGATTCCCCCTTCACCCCACCTCATCCCCAGGATAAGATATTTTAAAATCTACTTGCTCAATTGTACTTGCCCCATTTCAAGTGCCCAGTGGTAGGTATCTTGCCATGGCATTGACCTTGGTCAGCCTGGGGCTGCTCTGTGAATGGCTTCCCAAGGAAGTCAACCTTGCTGGCTCATTTGTTACTGTATTGCCCGTGTTTGCTTGTTAAAGACTTGTTGAAAGATTTCAGTGAGAGGAACTAAGATCTGCGTAGCCATTTGGCAGAAGGGCCAACTGAGACCTGGTGGAGGAAAACAAGAGAAGACTCCCTGGGGACAGGGTCTGGGGTATGCATGGGCTCACCAGGGATGAATCCCTCACCTGACATCCACCTCTTCCTCTGTCCCCAGCAGACCATGGCGACAATGACGTTGTCGGTGCCTGGGCGGAAGACGGCCTCTAGGCCCGGACCAGTGCCCGAGGCAGCCCAGCCATACCTGTTTGCACCCAACACACCGGGTGTAGGTGGCGGCCCCGGAGGCTCAGGTGCCTCCCCGCAAGTAGAGTGGACGGCCAGGCGCCTGGTGTGGGTGCCCTCGGAGCTGCACGGGTTCGAGGCCGCGGCACTGCGGGATGAGGGTGAGGAGGAGGCTGAGGTGGAGCTGGCGGAGAGTGGCCGGCGTCTGCGGCTGCCGCGGGACCAGATCCAGCGCATGAACCCGCCTAAGTTCAGCAAGGCGGAGGACATGGCTGAGTTGACCTGCCTGAACGAGGCCTCGGTGCTGCACAACCTCCGTGAGCGCTACTACTCCGGCCTCATCTACGTGAGTAGCCTAGGGTCTCGCGGTGGGGAGGCGCGGGGTAGGGGGCAGCGGGCTCTCCCAAACCCACAGGACACTCCTGTGGTGGCCAGATTAGAAATTATCTGGTGGGGCCAGGCAGGGTAGCCTAGTGGCTAAAGTCCCCGCCTTGCGTGTGCCGGGAGACCATATGGGCACAGGTTCGTGTCCCTGTTTCCGATCTAGTCCTCTGCCTGTGGCCTGGGAAAGCAGTCGAGGATGGCCCAAAGCCTTGGGATCTTACACCTGTGTGGGAGACCCAGTAGAGGCTCCTGGCTTTGGATCTGCTCAGCTTTGGCCGTTGCAGCCGCTTGGGAAGTGAATCAGTGGCTGAAGATCTTCCTCCTCTGTCTTTCCTCCTTTCTGTATGTCTGACTTTCCAATAAAAATAAGTAAATCTTTAAAAATTTAAAAAAAGATTATCCAATGACCAGGTCAGCCTCAGATCCCAGTGGGGACACGGTCATGTGTGCAAGAATATCTGTGGCAAATGTTGTTTTATGATGCCATGTTGTATTTATTATTTAAAAGATTTATTTACTTGCATTGGAAAGGGAGATTCACAGAAAGAGAAAGATCTTCTGTCTGCTGGTTCACTCCCCACATGGCCACAACGGCCAGAGCTGGGCCAAAAGCTTCTCCCAAAGCCAGGAGCCAGAAGCCTCTTCCAGGTTTGCCATGTTGTTGCAGAATCCCAAGGACTTCAGCCATCCTCTCTTGCCTTCTCAGGTCAGAAGCAGGTTGCTGGATGGGAAGTGGAAGCTCTGGGACATGAACTGGTGCCTATATGGGATGCTGGCACTTGTAGGCGGAGGGTGAGCCGGTTGAGCCGTTGGCCTCTAAATGACAATTTTTAAACTGTAGCGACTCCCTGTTTTACGTGGCAGATCATTTAGGCCATCAGCGTCAGTAACCACCAAAAGGAACATTTATTGAACATTGACTAAGTACCCCTTTAAGCCTCCTATAATATGCTGTCTCCTCCTTAAAAAATTTTACACCTAGAAAGCACTTGGTCCCCATTTAACAGATAAATAATGTGAGGCAGTTTACTGTGCCCTTGCTGGGATGCCAATAGCAGGAAGACGCTCAGGCCCTTGACCGGGGCCGCCATTGGACCTGGCAGAACCAGGAGTCTGTGTGCAAGTTCAGGATGGGACTGGCGAGAGTGAGGTTGGCTCTCTTGGTCTCTAGAGCCATGTGCTATGCTGTGTACCCCGTTCTCTGATGTTCTCAGGGTACACGTGGGGTGTGGGAGGGCAGTGATGTGTCTCCCTGACTTTCTATTGGAACTGTCTCAGGGGGTTCCTAAGAACACCGAGGACCTCTGACGTCAAGCCATCTTGTGTGACGTGGCCCCTGATGTTTCCACCCAGCTGCTCAGCGGACCCTAGTTGCCAACCAAAGCTGGTTAATTCTGTTAAAGGTGACAACCAACAGGGTTAGAGAGATCGACAGGAATGTCAACAGGAGTTGTAAAATACGACACTAATGGAAGGCCAGCAAATATTGATGGAGCACTTACCCAGCACTGCCCCGAGTGCTGCCCAGGAGTTGGCCAGCTGCCCTTGAGGACAGGGCATGACCCTGGAGCTCCCCTGGAATGTTAAGTATCCTGGCTCAGCTCTTAGAGCCTGTGATGGACTCAGGTTGGGAGTGGAAGCCGGGCAGCCAGCCCAGAGCACAGCCCCAAGCCCCTGCTCCGGTGACTGGGGTCTCACAGAGCACAGGTCAGCAAGCCCAACTCCATATGGAGAGCTGGGCTCCAGGAGGCAGAGGTAGAGTCTGAACCAGGCCTGTGTGGCCCTGGGGTGGGAGGGGAGGTGCCTTCTCCCAGCAGCACCAGCTTTTTAGATTCCTCATGTGCCATTACAAGTCCTGGGTGAGGGCAGAGCATAACGCCCACAACAAAGACCCCTGGAGGCCATCCACACCCACAGCATTCTTGGCCTTTGTCTAAATACCCTGAGCCCTCACGGCAGCCATGTGAGGCATCTGTACATGGGGTGTGGAGGACGCTGGGCCCCCGTGGTGGGTCTTGAACCCAGTGGGGCAATTTGAACCCAGTTTGGTCTGGCTCCAGACTCAGTCCCTTGCCACTGCACTGGAAGATGATTTAGAAAATTCAGAGGAAAACATAGCAGGGGCTGGGCTGAGTGGTGACTGGAGAGCAGAAGAATTGGGGTCCGAAAGATGACAGTGAGATGGAAGGTTCTGGAAGCCCAAAGAGCTCACGTTGGAGCTTACTGGTGATTGTCAGGAGATCGTGGGTGCCTGCTTCTCTAGGGTGCAGCGACAGGTGGTGATGGGTCCGCACCTGTTTCCCAGTGCACAGCTCCTGGCCAGCTTCCTGCGAAGGGCCGGAGCAGCTGGGACATGTGGGTCCCTCCTGTCTGTCTGAGGGACTGTGCTGGGGGTGTTTGTTGACTGACTAAGGTGTGTTTCCACCGGAGGCTGCCGAGGTCCCTGTGGCCTTGTTGGGGCGCTTGTGGCAGGAAGGCACTGCAGCAGCCCTGGAGGACCCTGTGACAACAGCGTCCACAGAACCCTCCCGGGAGGCAGGGGTTAACCTGTCCTCCCCCCCCCCCCCCCACGGTTTTTCAGAGCAGGAAACTGTAGTTCACAGGAGGCCCTTCCCTTTTGCCAGGCCCTGCGCAGCCAGGGAAGGCCACATCTGAATCGCAGCCCGGGGTGGCGTGGCAGCGTGGCTGGGAAGTGGGAGCCAGGCAGGACGTAACCTGAGTCTCCAGGCCTTATTTGGAGTGCGTGGCTGAGCAGGGCCCCCACCTTGGCCTGGCTGGGTTTTTATTCATTATCTCCCTTAATCCCTGCGGCCTTTGTAATGAGGCTGGGAGTGTCTCCTCTGCTTTCTCCAGGAGGAAACCCAAGAGGTGGGGCGGCCCTGTCTGCACAGCCCCGAGGGCGGGGGACGCGTCCCTGGCCCACCCTGGCTGCTCCCGACCCTTGCTGGTGGCACCGGTGGCCACTCGTGGTCAGCTCAGGTGTCACCCAGGGAGCAAGGCATGGCTGGCCGGGGCGGGGGGAGGGTGCTGGCATGGAGAGGTGGCATGGGGAGTGGGGTCCTCCGCCAGCCAGAAGTGGGGGCCGGGGCGCCAGCAGCCATGAGATACCCGCTCAGGGAATGTAGTCCAGCCGCCGCACCCTCCAAGAGCTCTGGGCAGGCACCCAGCAAACCGGTTGTTCGGCTCCAGGCTGGCCACCCACCACCCTCCCCTCCATTACAAGTGTGGCACCTGGAGCCGGCGGTGACCACGCCCTGCATCCCACAGCCCGGGCTCTCGGGAGCTCCCACCAGCCTTACTCCTCACCAGCTTGTGAACAGCTGCCTGTGGACTAGGCAAACTGGTGACTAGCTGGTCAAGGAGCTAAATATTTAACTAGGTGAGCCACCAAGCAGCTGACTCCAGCTGGCTCAGGTGCCTGCACAGCTGGCGAGCCCTGGGGCTGGGCTAACTCAGCGGGCTGCCGGCTCTCCCTGTCTGCCAAGCAGCCTTTCGTCCACCTGCCAACCTGGGAGCCAGACCAGTTGTTAAGCTGCTGCAGAGTCCTGACTGTGGCCCCAGGAGGATGCGGCTGCAACTCGGGTGCAGGAGGTGTCTGTGAACTTGGACGACAGACTCTTATCTCCCCACACCTTGAGTTGGAGGTTAAGCATCTCCCGCAGTGCAGCGCTCCTGAACACACAGCTGTCACAGGACATGTGCAGCCATGCGCTGGTCCTGTCACATCCCAGCAGCAGCAGGTGCCCTGGGCATCCTTCCGGAGGTGTCCCACAAGGCACCCTTTCAAAGCCTTGTCATCGCTGTCCTTTCTTCTAGTTCCTCCCCACATCAGTGTGCCCAGAGCTCCATAGTGGCCCATCCTGTGCAGGGCCTTTTTCCCCTGCACTCCAGAGCATGCCTCAAGGGATGACGTTGCATGTGGTCACTTCACTCCAGGCAGCCCAGCATGGCTGACGGCAAACCCTCGTGCTCTCGAGGACTCAGTCTCCGTCTCCCCAGCGCCTTTTGTGAGATCTGGAAAGGGTCATTCCCTTCAGCAGCCTGCAAGTGTGCGTCACCTGTGCCCAGCACTGTGCCACACACCCTCGGGCAGCACATAGCCTGCCCAGCTGTGCCCGGGGATGCGGGCTCGCCCCTGACGTCCTCTCCCCTCTCATCCACTGTAGACATACTCCGGTCTTTTCTGTGTGGTCATCAACCCGTACAAGCAGCTCCCCATCTACACGGAGGCCATCGTGGAGATGTACCGGGGCAAGAAGCGCCACGAGGTGCCACCCCACGTGTACGCTGTGACCGAGGGGGCCTATCGAAGCATGCTGCAGGGTGAGTGGCGGCCTGGGGCTGGACCGGACACTTCCTGGGGTAGTGGAGGGAACTTCAGGGTCAGGTGACAAAGGGACGAGCTCTGAGCACCCAAGCCCTCGAGCCTCTGCTCACCCTGCACTGTGACTTCTAAAGGAATTTCCCCAGGGGCAGGGAAGCCTGCAGCTCTCGCTCATTCAGTCCACCTTGTGCGCATGTAGACACGCTCTACGTCATCACGGCACCTTAAGGCAGATGGCATCTGTGGACAGCTGCCCAGGTCGTGCACTGGACCAGGGCTGTGTGATCTGAGACAGCGTGATAGTGAGGCACAGGATGGCCGAGGCAGGTGACTGCTCTACGCGCTGCTCGTTCTGCCCCCGCTGTGGGCTCATGTGCGTTTCAGACTGTGGGTCTGTTTCCATCGTGTGACAAGTCACAGAAGACAGCAGTTTGTTTATTCCGGATGTAGTATGCCGTATGCTATTCCCACATCATGCCTTTACGCAGCCAGAGGGAGCCGGGCATCTGGCTACATAAAGTCACTTGTGTGAACATTTCCATGACGACCCTGAGCTACTGCCCTTTGTCCGCCCTTGCAGTGGTGCAGGAAGGTCGTGTTATCTACGGGCCCCGTGAGCTCCTCTTTGGTCTTTAACAGCGAACTGCTCGGTCTCCATGCACGAGGAGTCCCTGGCTTTCCTTCCAGTGCCCGATTCCAGTCTAACGCCGCCGTGTCCTGTGACACTGGCAAAGGCAGGGAGGCTGTTCTGCTTGGGTGAACGCGGCCGTGGGCTTGAGAAGGGAGAACGGGCACTGTGTGGAACTGCCACGTGTGTGCTGCTGAGCCCACTCTGTCCCTCCAGCCCCGCCACTCCACCTGTCCGCTCCTCACAGAGGGACCTCACGCCTTTGTGCGAGCCGCAGCCCCTTCCTGGCTCCTGGTGGGGCTGCCTCAAGGCTCACTCATCCCTTGCTGCTTTCCTGGTCCCTGATTTCCAAGTCAGAGCAACCAGCTGGTTGCCCACAGTCAAGCTGGTGGGTGAGGGGTGGAGGTGGAGCAGGGACCCAGGGCCTGGCATGACCTCTGTGCACGGTGTCTGTCCCTTGCCGAGAGCGTGCTGAGCATGTTGGACATCCCTCAGGGTGCTGACCACTGGCTCACTGTTTTCAACCCCACTTTCCAGATGTGGAAAGAGTCAGAGCCACTTGGGGACCTGCTCAAGGCCACATAGCAGAGAGAGAGGGAGAGCCAGTAGGATCTTAAGATCTGGAAGTGGCAGGCATCAGCCTCCCAGTCCCTTGCCCCTCAGGACAATTTTGAGCAGGGAGTGGCCAGCGTAAGGGGCAGAGGGCCACCCCAGACGGACCCTCCCCAGTGACACATGTTCCTCTCTGACCCCTACAGATCGCGAGGACCAGTCCATTCTCTGCACGTGAGTAATTGTGGAGGTCTTCCTGCAGGGGGTGGGTCTGGGAGAGGCTCTTCTGGCCTGGGCAGCCATTCCTGGCCATGCCACCCACCCTCTCCGCATCGTGTCATTCCCCCGCAGTGGGGAGTCTGGAGCCGGAAAGACGGAGAACACCAAGAAGGTCATCCAGTACCTGGCCCACGTGGCATCGTCCCCAAAAGGCAGGAAGGAGCCAGGGGTCCCGGTACGAAAGCAGTCTCGGGGTGCCCTGGCCCTGTGCCCAGCAGCGTCCCAGCCCTGCGTGTCCCTCCACAGCTGTGTGCTATATTCAGAGAACGCCATGGTTGGGGTGGGGCCTGCTCTCAGCTCCCCACCCCACATGGTACCTGTTGGGGCAGAGGCGGGACAAATTCAGGGTCCCAGGCCCCCTTAGCCCCAGAACGGAACCTGGCACTTAGTAGGCGCTTGGTTCTCTCAGCACCTACTCTGTGTGTCTGCTGCTTGTCTGAGTGGCTGCTATGTGGTGCCCCTTGCTTCCCTGGGCTGACGGCCCCAGGTAGAGGGCAAGAGAGATTCAAGGCCAGGCAGCCAGTCCCCTGAGGCCACCTCTCCCCACACCTGGTTTCCCCTCCCCAACCCCTCTGCTCCCCACCCTTCCTGACCTGAGGCTGCCGGTTCACCACCATGTCTGTCCATGTTGCATGTGCCGTGTCCTTGGCTGTGTCTCGTGTCCTGTGACCTCCTCAGGCCTCCACCAGCACCATGTCCTATGTGAGTAGCAGGAATCTCCTCCAATCTAGCCGCCCCACCTCGTGCCACTCTGGTCACCTTGGCTGTGGCTTTCCCTGGTAGACACGACCCAAGGCACCAGAGGTCATACCTTCCAGGGCCCATGCTGCCCTCTGGGATACCCCCACTGTGTGCACATAGGCCATGTCCCTAACCAGTGCGGGCCTACTGTGGGTATGCAATCAGAGCCCCTGCGCCAGTCACAGAAGCCCTACTGTGTGCACACAGTAGGACATGGACAGCCACAGCAACACCCCAGGGACTAGAGCCACTGAGTGTGGCCGATGGGCTGGGTGTGTCCAGGCAGGGCCCTGCGCAAACTCAGCACGTGGAAAGTTGGCAGGAGAGCTAGGAAGACAAACTCAAATGCACTTCTACTTGGTTCTTCATCAGGATATGTTTTCTGTTGACTTTGGAAGACTGCGTTTGCCTAGATTTCACATTTTTAAAAGACTTATTTGAAAGCTGGAGTTACAGAGGGAAAGGGGGCCGTTGGGACCTAACCCCATGCCCAAGGGTCAACATTGGAGGTGGTGGCTTTATGTGCTATGCCACAACACTGCCCCCCAAGCTTGCCTTTCAAATCCGTTTTCCACAAACCTTTGGCAGTGCCCGCGGTGTGCCACGTCCGCCCCTTCCCTCAGCAAAGCCACGAGCCTGGCTGGGCCATGCAGACTGGCATTTACCTGCCTCATGCCTAGCTGACCCTTGGGCTGGAGGGAAGCAGAGTGACATGTGCACCCCAGGGAGCCAGCACCGTGTCTTGGCCACCTACCACGTCCCTGCGTGTGGAGCATCAGATATGCGGTGACCTCGTTTCCTCGGCAGCCGGTGGCAGCCAAGTGCAGGGGGCGCCTCCAACCTTCCCCAAAGTTTTTGTTTTTAAGATTTATTTATTGTTATTACAAAGTCAGACATAGAGGAGAAGAGACAGAGAGGAAGATCGTCTGTCCGATGATTCACTCCCCAAGTGACCTCAACGGCCAGAGCTGCGCCAATCCGAAGCTGGGAACTAGGAACCTCTTCTGGTCTCCCACACGGGTGCAGGGTCCCAAGGCTTTGGGCCGTCCTCCACTGCTTTCCCAGGCCACAAGCAGGGAGCTGGATGGGAAGTGGAGCTGCTGGGATTAGAACTGGTGGCCATATAGGATTCCGGCAGCGTTCAAGGCGAGGACTTTAGTCACTAGGCCACGGCGCTGGGCCCGCCCTGAATTGTTTTTAACACTGGCCCCCTGGAGCAGTTGTCCTGTGGCTCGTCTGTGTTTGGTTTGATTTTGTTCAATAACCTGTCCCGGAGACCAGTCTCCTGGTGGGCTGGGAGCTCTGCTCCTGCCGGGGCCACTCTGATGACGTCTCGGTGCCCACAGGGGGAGCTGGAGCGGCAGCTGTTGCAGGCCAACCCCATCCTGGAAGCCTTCGGCAACGCCAAGACAGTCAAGAATGACAATTCCTCCCGATTCGTGAGTACTGGGCTGGGGCGGGGCCTGTGTGTGGGAGGCGGGGCCTGGGTCATGGGGCGGGGCCTGTGTGCGGGAGGCGGGGCCTGGCCAAGTTGGGGTGCCTGGAAGTTCTGGGATGAGGAGATAGGGGTCCTGAGATAGGAAGAGCAAGAGTCTGGACTAGAGTTCCCCAGGGAGTCCCTGATGTGAGTGGGGCTCAGATAAGGAAGGAAAGAAGTGGGGAATCAGGCCAGTTCTGGGCTGGTGGGGAAGGGACCTGCGGGGTGGGGAGGCATGTCTGTTTTCAGGTCTGCATGAGAGCAGATCCTCAGCCGTGGCCACCTTCCCTTCCCAGGGCAAATTCATCCGCATCAACTTCGACGTGGCCGGCTACATTGTGGGCGCCAACATCGAGACCTGTATCCTCCAAGCTCTGGGGGCGCTGTAGGCCTGGCTGGGCTAGGGAGAGGGTCTCCCTGCCCCGTGGGTCTCCCCACTCCCAGGAAATGGGAGACCAGGTGTTCAGAGACCCCGTTCCTAGAGCTCTGTGGGAGCCAGCTGCTGCCGGCAGCTTTTCTAGTGGGGTGGGGAGCTGAAGGTCAGGGGGCTGCAGGACCACCCTAGTTCAGCCATTCGCCAGCAACACATGGACAGAGCAGTGAGCAAGTGGCAGAACGCCAGGGGCGAGGCCTGGGGAGGCAGGCACGACCTCTCCAGACTGGCCCAGTGAGCCCATGGAACTGAACTGCCCCAGCCAAGAGGACGAGGTGGGACCCCAGGAGCCCAGCAGAAGTCTGGCACTGGTCAGGCCTTCCCTTCAGGTCCCCAAATCGCAGATGAGGGGAAAAGCCAAGACCTAGGATAACCGGCTGCTGAGGGCACAAGCAGCGGGGTCCCAGCTATTGCCCCTGGCACCTCTGCTCAGGCTCCCACAGCCTCTGGTCCCCTAAGTCACACAGCTGCTGCCTCCTGCAGCTGCCAGGCCGCTGTCCTGGCTTCATGGCTTCTGCCACATGGCTCCTCTGCCATCTGAGTCTGCCCCTCTCTCCTCTGAGAGCTCTTCCTGGCTGGTTGGCTCTCCAATCTGCAGCCTGTCCCACTCCGGGGTTCCCACAGCCGCCTGAGATTACACTTGGCTGTCTTGGCGGCAAGGACCAGCATGTGGGGGAGGGTACTTGGGGTCAGGTGGCCCCCTGGCTGCTTGGGATGGCGGGATAGTAGGGGAACTCGGGTCTGTGCTGCGGGCTCTGCCCCAGGTCAGCCGTGACACCCCATCCTGGCTTGAGTGCTGATTGAGCCCCACCACTCTGGGCTCTACCGTATCATCTCAGTCTTCCCTCAACACCAAGACACAATCACTGCCATTGCCTCACTAATGGAGGAGGAGGGCGATGCTGGGACCAGCATGACCCAGGGCTGTCCAGCACATGCACACATCCCCTCCTCCCCACCCTTCGCCCCGTGTCCCCCCGCCCCCCCATCCACGCTAAGCCCGACAGTGGCTGTCCTCTCCCAGCGTTGGAAGGTGGTGGTTCTCGGCCTCATGGCTGATCTTGGGCATAACCCGGGCTCCGTGGTTCGTGAGCGTGGGTCACAGGCTCCCCGCATGTCATGTGACTTCTCAGAAGGGAGCAGCTAGCAGGAGCACTGAGTCATGGGAAGCGAGATCTGTTGTCTGCGACATCTGTGTGGGGAAATCTGAGGCTGGGAGAGCGAAGCTGATGGGCCATGCGCTTGGGTGTGGCTGGTGGTGAGCCAGGCACTGCACGCTGAGTGGGTTAATTATCCTAGGCAGCAGGGGGAACAGATGAGGAAACTGGGGTGCAAGGGCTCGGGTGACAGGCCCACTGCCCCAGATCAGTCACTGACCAAGTCACCAGCCTGAGCTGTGAATGACTCCGCATCTTTGGGAGGCAGAGAGAGGTGGGTTGGTGGGCGTCCCTCTCCCCTCCTGCCCTCCTCTGCCCACCTCCACCCCACGCCTTGACTGGCCTCTGCCCAGACCTGCTGGAGAAGTCACGTGCCATCCGTCAAGCCAAAGATGAGTGCAGCTTCCACATCTTCTACCAGCTGCTCGGGGGCGCCGGGGAGCAGCTCAAAGGTGGGTGTCTCCTGCCCTCCTGCCCAGTTCAACAAGCCAGGAGTGGGGGTCGGGGGAGACCCCTGAGAGGGACGAGGTGGGAGGCACTGCTGCCTGCCTGTACCTACATCCCGTGCGGGGTCTGCAGCCCTGTCCCTGGTTCTGGCTCTGCATGGCAGATTCCACCTCCTCCCGTGGTTCCTGTGCCTCCGGGTCTCACTGAATCTCTCTATCCTGCTCAGCTGTGCCAGCCCCATCGCTGCCCTTCCTGTGGGCATCTGCTCACCCCGCAGCGGTCCTGTTGTAATCAGCTTTGCATGTCTCCTGCTGTGTTCCTGTGGCTGCTGCTGCCTAGTGGTTCTTGGCGACCCTGTAGTGGCTACGGCTTCCCGTGCAGCTCCCATCGTGTCTGGGTCCTGGGCGCTCCTGTCTGCCCCGCACCGCCCTCTTGTTCTGCCTCCTTCTGCCCCATAGCTTGTGCCTCCCTCAACTCCCGCTGCTGCCACGTGGCCCCTTCTCACTGTGGCTGCCAAAGCCACGTGTCCTGGCGCTGGCCCTGTCGTCCCTGCCCTCCTTGCTTTGGGCAGTTGCCTGATTCGAGAGTCTGGAAGGAGCAAAGATGAGTACCACGTGCTGACAGTGACAGCGCTGCCACACGGCCGGGAGGAGAGGACCTCAGCTGTTGGTAGAGGGGGCGGCGGCTCATGCAGGGACACCTGCAATGCTGGCAAGCCCACAGCTGACCTTGACGCCCCCCTGCCTCCGCAGCCGACCTCCTCCTGGAGCCCTACTCCCACTATCGCTTCCTGACCAACGGGCCGTCGTCCTCCCCCGGCCAGGAGCGGGAGCTCTTCCAGGAGACGCTGGAGTCGCTGCGGGTGCTGGGGTTCAGCCACGAGGAGATCACCTGTGAGTTAGCCCCCCTGTGCCTTCAGGCCTCCGCTCATTCACTGCTCATTCACGGCTTTATCCAGTGGCTGCTGCGTGTTATGTGCAGGCACTGCCCTTACAGTGAGGGGAGTGTTAGAGAGCCACGGGGCAGATCCGGAAGGAAGGACGCCCTGTGTTTGCTGCAGGGGCTCAGGGGGTCAGGGAGGGGTGCTGCGTTTGAGCTCAACCTGGAGAGTGATGCCCTGGGGCAGGAAGGGCTGTAGCACGTTTGGGGCGTTGGGATTTCTGGTGTGTTCCATGTGGAGTGTGACGGGAGACCAAGGAACTGGAGCTGCCAAAGTGGGCAGGGCCCTGGGCCCAGAGCTTTACCGAGGTGGCACTGGGCAGCCATGGCAGGGACAGGGGAGTAGGGACATTACGAGGGCAGCTCTGAGATACACTGCAGTAGAAGGGGCGAGGCCAGTGGGAGTCAGGATGGGGGTCTCAGGAAGCCGCCGTGTACTCTGCGGGCCAGAGCCGCACTCAGCACTCTGCCTCACTCTGTTCCCCTGAACGCCGGTGTGGATGACGATTTGACTGTCCTGTCACGGCACTCTGGCGCCTCCTGGTGGGTGGCTGCGTAGGTGTCTCAGCCAGGCCCCAGGTCCCTGTGCTGGTCCCTTGCCTGGCTCCAGGCTGAATTGGGAGGGCCGGACGTAAATGCCAGCCTGGTGGCTTCCTGGGGCTGTTGGTGGCTTCCGTGGGCCAACATGGGATCTCGGCTTTACACAGTCCAGTCCTGTTTCCTAGTCGTGCTTGAACAATTCCGTCTGCACAGCGAGTCAGGTGGCAAACACAGAGGGTGCTGATGGCGGGGGCCTGGGCCTCCCAGCTCGTCCCTGGAGGTCCCGCTGGGCTTAGCGACACCTACCAGCTCACATGGTCCTGCTGGCAGCTGCCCGGTAGTGCAGCGACGTTTGCAGTGACATCAGGGTACTGACGTTTGCAATCCAGAAGTGCACACTGTACAGCTTTGTATGGAGAGCCCTGACAGGAGAATGGCGCAGGTCTCACCGAAGCCCTGGCCCTCGCGTCTGTAGTCACACCTCAGTGTGCGTGAGGGCTGCTTCCTGGACCCCCCACTGATCCCCAAGCTCTCCGGTGCTCTCTCAACAAAGCTGTGCGTGTCATTGGTAGTACAGACTCTCCTCTGGTAGACTTTAGATCTTTTTTTTTTTTTTAAACTGATTTATTCATTTAGAAGATAGTCAGAGCATGAGACAGGTAGAGAGAGACCTCCTGTTCACTCGTTTACTCCGAGATGGCTGCACTGCTGGGGCTGGGCCAGGCCAAAGCCAGGAGCCCGGTGCTCCTTCCAGGTGTCCCACAGGGGGCGAGAAGCCAAGCACATGGGCCACGCGCTGCTGCTTTCCTGAGCGCGTGAGCCGAGAGCTGGATCCAAAACTGAGCCGGGACACAAGACAGTGACCGTTCAGGATTCTGATATTGCAGGCAAAGGCTTAACCTGATCCATCACAGCACTGGTCCAGCTCTGGTTTATTTTGTTTTAATTTATTCATTTATCTGTTTGAAAGACAGAGCAACAGAGAGGGAAATGTGAGAAAAAGAGTTATCTTCTATGCACTGGCCCACTCCCCCAGGTGGCTGCAACAGCCAGAGCTGGGCTAGACTGAAAACAGACACTCCGTCTGGGTCTCCCAGCAGGGGACAGGGACCCAGGTACTTGGACCATCTATCGTTACATTAACAGCGAGTCAGATTGGAAATGGGGCAGCAGGGACTTCAACCAGTGCCCACATGGGATGCTGGTGTCACAGATGGCAGCTTAACCCATGACACCGCAGTGCCAGCCCGGTCACAGTTACAATGACCCCACATCTGCAGGCCCTGAGGTAAGCTCCTGGCACGTGAGCAGGTGCTGCTGTGAGAACACAGCTGGCATTTCCAACTCACCTACACGTTGGGGAGATGTTGGGGTCAGCAGCTGCCCACAGGGACGCTCAGGAGGCCATGGGCTCCTTTGTCATGGCTGGGGTTCCTGGGAATGCACTTTAAGAAACAGTCCCATCCTGGGCACGTGCATGGATCTTGCCTCGGAGGAGCTGCCACTCTGATGGGGGAGGGAGGCAGAAGAGAGGGCTGCTGACTGAGAGATGGTGTGTTGTCAGGGGAGGTGACACACATGGGGGCTGAGGGCCAGCAGCTCAGTGTGGGTCGCCTACACACATGGTGGGGACTGACTGCTTGAGCCGTCAATGGCCTCCCAGGGTGTGCGTTGCCTGGGAGCCAGCTGTGGGACATGGTGTCCTAACCTGTCTTCACTGCTAGGCCAGAAACCCTGATTCCTTCCTTCTGCACGTATCACCGGTGGCTCTGCTGGACCCTGGGCCCTGCTGGGGGCAGAAATGGGCACAGTCCAACAGGCACGGTAACGTCAGTCGTCAGTCTCCCACCGAGTGCCAGGCCCCTCCTCTCACCACCGGTGCTGCTCAGCTGGCTGAGCCTGGAGCCCTGCGGCCTCGGTTCTCCCTCACTCTCCCTCTTCTCCCTCCTCTCTGATGCTCACGCCCTCCCTCTTCCCACAGCCTAGACCTGCTCCTGAGTTGTCCTGTGGTCGTCATGACCTTGACCCTTTACAATGCTTTTGTTTCCTTACCGTGAGGTTTCAGTCTGAGCTCTTGGCAGAGGGATAGCTCCCTGCTTGCCTGGCCCCGAGCTCTTTGCCAAATCCACTTCACTTGGAAAGGAGACACAGACCTCATGCCCAGGGGACGTGGAACGGTCAGGGGTGGGTGTCCAGGGGCACGCTCACCAGTGTCCGGAGCCCACTCCTGCCCCTTCCTGCCACCTGCGCCCTGTAAATGCAGCTGCCAGCAGTCAGGAGCTGCTCTGTCTGCACTTGAATGTGGTACAAGGAGTCACACGTAGCAGGCACGTGTGGGTCATGTGGTGGGGGGACTGCCTCGTTGAATGAAGGTTACCTGAGGTCATTGTTAGTGTTTGTGAGTGGGGGTGGCACAGAGGAAGTGACAGTTAAACAATTTCCATCGTAGTTGTAGAAACTTCTAAAATAAACACTGGACGGGCTGGCTGAGTGCTCTCTGACGCGTGGCGTAACCACGAGAGCAGCAGAGACAAACAGAGCCTGCTGTGGGGGGAGAGGGCGTTTTGCAACAGTGACGGTATCTTGATAAAGCTCTGAGCGAAGCCGGTGACCGTCTTCCCTCCGGGAGGCTCAAGAGCGCTCGTGCAGATGTAAAACACCAGCGAGTTCCTGCAGAGCCGCGGGCCAGCAGCGCACAGACCCACTGTCTAAGGGGACGCCAGCAAGGCCACGCAGCCTGGGACTGGTCCATTCTCATCCCCAAATCTCCCGAGCATCCTTCACCCCTGCAGGTCCCCGAGACGAACGCTAGAGGGCAGCACTGCCCGCGTCCAACCTCCTCTGCGAGGGCCACAGGCCCAGCCGGCCACACTCCTTGTTGGCAGGCTGTGCATTCGCGGCTTCCCCTGCTCTTGCAATCCCCAAACTGGTTCACCCATCAGGTGAGCCGCTGGGCCAAGCCACAGCCGGGCGTCTGGAACTCCATCGGGTCCACTGCCAGCGACTCAAGCGCTCACCTGCTGTAACCCAGGGAGCCTTAAAAGAAGTTGGGATTACGGATGAAGCTGGGGCTCACGACCAGAACTTCCGACATGGAGTGCGGCCATCTTAACTGCGCCCTAAGTTGTATTTTTTCAAATACAGTGTGGGATGCTGGTGTCGCACGTGGTGGCTTAACTTGCTATGCTTCAACGCTTGCCCCCACCCTATGCAGTGACCTCTCACCTTCCCGCCCTTGCCCTCAGCCATGCTGCGGATGGTCTCAGCCGTCCTCCAGTTCGGCAATGTCGTCCTGAAGCAGGAGCGAAACACCGACCAGGCCACCATGCCTGACAACACAGGTACAGCCTGCTGGCCGCACCCTCCACCCCACCCCGGCCTCTGCCCTGTGCTCCCGGCCCTGCTGCAGGGCTCCTGCATGGTCCTACAAGACACGATCCCTCTTGGGCATCCCCTGGGACGCGCTTTAGGGTACAACATCCATCACCCAGTGCTTGCTTTTTTCATTTTTATTAAATATTTTCTCTGAGTAGCAGAGTCACACACACACACACACACACACACACACACACACACACACACAGATCTTCCGTCCACTAGTTCACTTCCCACACAGCTGCAATGACTGGGGCCAGGCCAAGTGGAAGCCAGGAGCCAGTCTCCATTCAACTCTCCCACAAGTGTCCATCATCCACTGCCTTGCCAGACACATCAGCAGGGGGCTGGATGGGGAAGCAAAGCAGCTGGGATTCCAGCCAGTGCTCACGCTGGGTGCCCACATCACAGGCACTGGCTTAACGTGCTGTGCCACAGCACCAACCTAACATCACACGGTCATTCTTACATGCTTCACCATAAAGAATGAGAAACTCAAGAGTGCTCCCTGCTCCACACAGACTTAAGGCTGGGGGTGGGGACTTAGGGAAGGTGGGTGCGGTCCCCTGCCCCCGCTCCCTGGCCAAGGCTGATCTCCCTTGCAGCTGCGCAGAAGCTGTGCCGCCTGCTGGGCCTGGGCGTGACTGACTTCTCCCGGGCGCTGCTCACGCCCCGCATCAAGGTGGGCCGGGACTACGTGCAGAAGGCCCAGACCAAGGAGCAGGTAGGGGGATGCTGCAGAGTGAGTCGGGGGCGCGGCCCTGCATCTGTTCATTGCACCTGCTTCAGTGCGGGTGCTGGGAACACAAGCGAGAGAAAAGCCCAACAGGCGAGGCTCCCTGGTGGCCGAGCCGTGGGTGGCCAGGAGCGTCCTCTCTGAGGAGAGACCCGGAAGGCGCAAGGCACAGGAGCGCAGCCTGTGCGGTAGTCGTTTGGGAATGCTGAGGATCACCAGGCGTGGAGCCAGGCAGCTGTGTGGGGAAATCAGCAGGGCCTGGGTGCTGGGAGATCTAAAGAGCCACAGGACGGAGGCGGCTTGGCGGGAAGCTGGTGGAGAGCAGCTGCATTGGTCCGTCTTCTGTAGGCTGCTATAGGGGAGCTGTCCCCTCCCCTGCTGCTGTAAGGGGGCTGAGGGGACCCTAAGAGCCCAGGATGGATGCAGTAGGGACAGGGGGCAGGCTGTATTCTCCTGAGCCTGTGCTCCCAATGCCACCAGGGGGGCCGCAGGAAGGCCCGGTGGTTGCTCAGGGCCAGTTCCTGGGGATGCTTCGGCCCTTACACTGTGCCCGGCCCTGCAGGCTGACTTCGCACTGGAGGCTTTGGCCAAGGCCACCTACGAGCGCCTCTTCCGCTGGCTGGTCCTGCGCCTCAACCGGGCCCTGGATCGCAGTCCCCGCCAGGGCGCCTCCTTCCTGGGCATCCTGGACATTGCTGGCTTCGAGATCTTCCAGGTCTGTCCTCCAGTCCCTGGCTCCACTCTGGGTCCCCATCCCCCTACGCTGGGTCTCTGGCCCCTGTCCTAGCCTCTGTCCTCCTGCCCTACTTGGTCTCTGTCCCTCTCTCTTTTCTGGGTCTGTGTCCCCCCTCTCTCTCTGGGTATCTGTACCCTCTCTCCCTCTGGGTCTGTCTGCCACCCCAGGTCTCTGTCCTCCCATCCACTCACTGCCCTGTCGCCCGCAGCTGAACTCCTTCGAGCAGCTGTGCATCAACTACACCAATGAGAAGCTGCAGCAGCTCTTCAACCACACCATGTTCGTGCTGGAGCAGGAGGAGTACCAGCGCGAGGGCATCCCCTGGACTTTCCTCGACTTCGGCCTTGACCTGCAGCCCTGCATCGACCTCATCGAGCGCCCGGTGCGCCCACCCTGCTCCCGCCTCTGGGGAGGGAAGGGGGCAAGGAGAGCGGCCATCTGCCTGACCTGTGTGGTTATCAGGCGGCTGTGGGGCCTGGCCGCCATCCACAGGCCAATCTGTCAGTTATGGCAACCGCAGCCATCACCCTGATCCTGGGAGGTCTGACCCACCCTCCCCTCCTGTCACTGGTCAGGCCAACCCCCCTGGGCTCCTGGCCCTGCTGGACGAGGAGTGCTGGTTCCCCAAGGCCACGGACAAGTCCTTCGTGGAGAAGGTGGCCCAGGAGCAGGGCAGCCACCCCAAGTTCCAGCGGCCACGGCAGCTGCGGGATCAGGCAGACTTCAGCGTCCTGCACTACGCGGGCAAGGTGGGGGCCGGGGCGGCTTGGGGAAATGTGGGTGGGAGCAGGGCCGGGGAGCTAGGTTAGGTGAGGAGGGTGGGAGGAAGTGGGGTCCACCTGGTGTCCACCCGTACCTGACAGCAGAAGGGGTAGGAAGAGATGTTGTGGGCGGGGTCACACCAGGGTGCAACTGGGGACACCAGCGGTGCGGCTGCCCTGAGCCATGAGGAGGCTGTGAGCTCCCCACGACTGTCTCCCACTGCCCATAGGTGGACTACAAGGCCAACGAGTGGCTGATGAAGAACATGGACCCCCTGAACGACAACGTGGCCGGCCTGCTTCACCAGAGCACGGACCGGATGACTGCTGAGATCTGGAAGGACGGTGAGGATGCAGCTCCCGCCCCTTCAGACGGGAAGAGCCAGTGCCTTTCCCTGGGCAGGTTGGGTTTGGATTAAGGCCGGAGCCCGGACAGGACGCAGACACTGTCGCCAACGCTGCCTTAAGCACTGCTCGCCTGTGCCATCGGACCCGACAAAGCTGCTCTGTGATCCGAGGGGGTCTGACGTGTGTGGATGCTCAGCCCAGCGTTGGTGTAACTTACACTACCAGATGTGATGCCAGTGCTGACCAGGGGTGAAGGGGGGCCGGCTGGATGGGGACGTTGTGGTTGAAGGGACGCCTGGTTTTGCACATGTGTTCTGAGGCCCGGGTCTCTAAAATAACTAAGGGTGTCTGTTGAGAATGTCAGTCCCAGGCTCACGGAGACAGGCTGCAGGCATGGGTGGGCACAGATAGACCCTTCTAGAAGGTACTTGGAGTAGGACCTGACCCCTTTCTGGCTCCAGTGCCACCCCCTGTCCTAGAAGTGGCTCGAGCAATGTCCTCCACGTTTATCTGTTTTCCCCTCATCTTCAATTTTTTTTTAATTAGGTTTTTTTTTTTTTTTTTTTTTAAATTTGTAGGACAGAGACACAAAGAAAGCCCCCTATGATCTGCAGCCTCTGGCTGTGACCGAAGGTCCAGGTCCCCCTGTGGGCGACAGGGTCCCGGCCATATGAGCCAACACTGCCGCCCCCCATGGTGCACCTGTGGGAAGGTGGGGTCAAGTGCCAGGCCCCAGAGTGGAACCCTAGTACAGAGTTCACGGGCATCTTAGCCAACGTGCTGGCCTGCCCTGAGCTTTCCTGGAGTCTTCAAAGGCATGGCTGGAGAGGGGCCTGTGTTTGATCGCACAGGACAAGAGGGTCCCAGGACGAGAGCCCTGGGGCTGGGGGTATCGAGCCTTCTCTCGGGAGCCGGTGCTGCAGAGAGGGGCCGAGTTCACCCCAGGCATTACAGTTCGCTGTGCAGGGCCAGACCTGGGCTCTGCCCTGAGCATCATCTCCCCCACCCCCAAAACACATCCCCTTTCTTGAAACTTCCGGCCCTTTCACGGGTCCCAGCGTCCCTCAGCCATCCCACTGCTCCGTGGGGTCCTGGCTCGGGAAGCTTCCTGGAGACTGTGGACCAAGGCATGGGCTCGGAGCTGGCCTGGAGCCACCTCATCCACCGTCCTCCAAAACAAGGCCAGCTCCTTGGAGTGTGGGCAGGGCCCGAGCTGGAGCCGGCTCCCTGCCAGTGTTCCCCGCAGCCACCTCGCCCAGCGTGGGACGCCCGTATCCTGGCACGCAAGGCCACAGGCGCCCAGCACAGGGAAAGCGCATAGCAGACACAGCCGCCACTGCTGGGGGAGGGATGGGAGGCGGGCAGGATTGGCATGCTCACGGCCAGTGTCCGGGCTTCACTCCGGCTTTGCCCTGTGCTGCTGACTAACGCTGCTCTCCTCTCTCTCTTCCTGCTGCCCACCCTCCCTCCTGTCCCCTCATGCATCTCTCTCTCTGCCATCCCCCTCCACCATCTCCCCACCTCACGCCCGTCCCCAGCCCCAGCACATGGGGCCTTCCAGCCGCTCTCCTTGCTTGGCGCCTTCCCGCCGGCGCCCCCAGGAGCCGCTCCCGCAGGGGGTGGGCGGATCTGCGAGGACGGTGAGGCTGGCCGGCGGGGAGGGTGCCCTGTGGGCCCGGGGAACTGCTCTGGACCCCTCTCCCTGCCTCTTCCTCCCTCTACCCTCGGCTCCCTGTCGGCCAAAGCTCTCCTACCGAGCCTGTGTGAAAGCACTGACAGCCAGTGTCCCTGCGTGCTTCGTGACTGCGGGCACCCAGGGAGGTGGACATTAGTCCGATGTTCCCATTCTATCCAGGCGGAAGTAGAAGCACAGAGGGGTTAAGCAGCCGGCCTGAGGTCGCACAGCCAGCCGGGAAATGGGCTCAGGCCTCAGAACCTTCCTTGTGCGTTAGCCGGTGCACGCTTTCATTCAAAGGGGGCAGAGGGGCTGAGCCCGAGGAGGACAGGGTCCAGGTCCTGCCCTGCCTGGGCCGGCTCGGCAGCAGCTGTTGATGCGGCGCCCTCTGGCGGCCGTGGAGGGAATGGTGTTCGCAGGGCGGATGGGGTTGGGGTGGGGAGTGAAACACGAAGGCAACAGGACTTGGTGTTTTTAGCGGAGGCACTGGTCACCCCACTCCCCGCTGTGCCCCAGTGTCCCTGTCTGCAAAGTGGAGCCATCCTCACGGCCCCCGAGGCTGCTGTGTGTAGCTCGTCGTGCGTGCAGCCTGGCAGAGCCCATATCTTGCATGTCCCCTTCTTGAGGGGCGGTCAGGACCAAGGCTGAGTCCAAGAGGATTTCTGCCACCACATCTGTGACATCTGTGGGTGCTCAGCTGACCATTAGGTGACCATCCCCTGCTCAACAGCATGGCCCCGCGCACGGTCTCCCACCTTCCGAGCCTCAGTTGACCTTTCTGTCCGACGGGGCTGCCCGTCCCGACCTTCCCATGCAGCCTGAGGCGTTTCTTGGGCAGAGGGTTGGTCTTGCAGACAGCGAGATCCTTGACCTTTGAACCCCCCAGCTCCGTCACACTGACCCTGCTGTCCGCTCTCTGCACCCGCAGTGGAAGGCATCGTGGGGCTGGAGCAGGTGAGCAGCCTGGGTGACGGCCCCCCCGGCGGCCGCCCCCGCCGCGGCATGTTCCGGACCGTGGGCCAGCTCTACAAGGAGTCCCTGAGCCGCCTCATGGCCACGCTCAGCAACACCAACCCCAGCTTCGTCCGCTGCATCGTCCCTAACCACGAGAAGAGGGTGAGTGACCCCAGCCAGGGCAGGGCTGTGGGTAAAGGCCGCGGGCTACAGGCTGATCACCCAGTGTCCAGTTCCCTGTGTACGGATGGAAGATGCCTGCGGTGTTGATCTGGTAGGGAAAGTCAGGAGAGGCTCCCTGGAGGAGGTGGTGACTGGACTCTGAAGGGAGCTGCCGCAAAGGCCATGGGATGGATGAAAGCCAAGGGGTCAGTGAGACCCCTCCTGGCCTTAGAGGACACGGTGATGCTGTCTCTTGTTAGGAAAATCAAAGGAGGGTCTTTGTGGGTGGGGACCTAGGCCACAGGCCCTGATACCCGGGGCCTCCCTGTCCTCAGATGGCGGGAGGTGGGCCTTGGGGTGCGGGGGGCTTGGGGCTGGGCTGAGCCCTGGCTTCTGGCAGTCTGAGCACCATGGACTACCAGGTTCGGGACCCTGGGAGCGGGGCAATGACAGCCTCCTGCCACAGGTTCCTGAGTGGTGGCCTCGTTTTGCCCTTGGGTCTCATGAGAGTCAGTGGTCAGCGCCCTGCTGAGGCTGCCTGATGCCCAGGGTGCTGTGGGCGCCCCACCTGGCAGCCACTGACCCACGCATCCCTCCTGCTGACCCCTGCATCACTCCTGCTGACCCTGACTCCCTCCCACTCACCTTGGCATCCCTCCCTCTGACCCCGCATCCCTCCCGTTGACCTCGCCCCGCTGACCTTGTGTCCCTTCCGCTGATCCCCAACTGATCCCGCGTCTTTCCTGCTGACCCCACTGACCCGCACATCCCTGCCTCTCTCTGCAGTCCGGGAAGCTGGAGCCGAAGCTGGTGCTAGACCAGCTGCGCTGCAACGGTGTCCTGGAGGGCATCCGCATCTGCCGCCAGGGTTTCCCCAACCGCATCCTCTTCCAGGAATTCCGGCAGCGGTGAGCGCGGCCCGGCTGGGCCAAGGGACATGCGTAGGACGCCCGGGTGCTTCCACGCTGTGCTTTCCAGGCTGGCGGCTTGGGGGGCCACGGGCTCTGTAAGGGTGCACATGGACTGAGGGCAGCGAGCTGCAGGTCACATTTGTTGAGAACAGAGTAGGACTGGGAAAGAAACCCAAGGACAGACGGCTAGGCGAATGCGGGAGAGAACCAGGCCTCACGCAGGTGGGGCGTGACACATGAGCCGCGGAGGGGGCTCATGGAGCCACGTTAGAAAACAGCTTTGAGGGCCCGGCGCGATAGCGTAGTAGTTAAAGTCCTCGCCTTGCACATCTGGGATCCCATATGGTCACCGGTTCTAATCCTGGCAGCTCCACTTCCCACCCAGCTCCCTGCTTGTGGCCTGGGAAAGCAGTGGAGGACGGCCCAAAGCCTTGGGATCCTGTACCCGCGTGGGAGACCCAGAAGAGCTCCTAGCTCCTGGCTTCGGATTGGCTCAGCTTCAGCCGTTGTGGTGACTTGGGGAGTGAAACATTGGACAGAAGATCTTCCTCTCTGTATATCCACCTTTCAAAAAAAATAAATAACTCTTTTTAAAAAAAGAAGAAAGAAAGAAAAAGTAAAGAAAAAAAGGGCTACAAGTTATCTAACCCATTAAATCCAAAATATTTTTAGGATTTAGTTATTTATTGGAAACTGGAGTTACAGAGAGAAAAGGAGAGAGAGAGAGCTCGCTCTTCCATCTCCTGCTTCACTCAAGTGGTTGCAACAGTTGAAACTGAGCCAATCTGAAGCCAGGAGCCGGGAGCTTTCTCCCAGTCTCCCATGGGTTCAGGAGCCCAGACACTGGGGCCATCTTGTGTTACTTTCCCAGGCACATTAACAGGGAGAAGGGTTGGAAGTGCAACAGCCTGGACGTAAACTGGTGCCCATATGATATGCTGGCACCACAGATGGAGGCTTAAGCTACCATGCCATAGTAGTGGCCCCATCTTCTTCAGTTTTTTTTTTTTTAAGTTAAATTTCACTCTGCTTTCAGCTTAGCTCCCTGCTAAAATGCACCTCAGGGATAGCTGGTGATGGCCCAAGCACCTGGGGCCCTGCCACCCACGTGGGAGACCCAGATGGAGTGCTGGCTCCTAGCTCCAGGCTTCAGGTCTGCAGTGTCCCAGAGGGTGTCCCTGGGTCAGCCACACCCTGGGGCCACCCCAGACCCACTGAGCTCGGACCTGCATTTGTAATAGGTCCCAGGTGGTAGGAGACAGGATCACACACACGTGTACACTCGCTGCTGTGCACGGGTGCTCGAGAAGTTTGCAGAAATGCAGGTTTCAAAAGCCACATGAATTTCAACAATTCTTGACACTAAGATAAGCTTGCTTTTTATCTTCTGTTAGCATTTTCATAGGTACACACAGGAAAGTGCCGGGGTCTCCATGGGTACACACAGGAAAGTGCCAGGGTCTCCATGGGTACACACAGGAAAGTGCCGGGGTCTCCATGGGTACACGCAGGAAAGTGCCGGGGTCTCCATGGGTACACGCAGGAAAGTGCCGGGGTCTCCATGGGTACACGCAGGAAAGTGCCGGGGTCCCCATGGGTACACGCAGGAAAGTGCCGGGGTCCCCATGGGTACACACAGGAAAGTGCCGGGGTCTCCATGGGTACACACAGGAAAGTGCCGGGGTCTCCATGGGTACACACAGGAAAGTGCCGGGGTCTCCATGGGTACACACAGGAAAGTGCCGGGGTCCCCATGGGTACACACAGGAAAGTGTCGGGGTCTCCATGGGTACACACAGGAAAGTGTCGGGGTCTCCCTGGGTACACACAGGAAAGTGTCGGGGTCTCCAGTTGTGCTATGGTAGTACACCCATGACGTGTGTGTGCAGTCTCCCCTTCACGTGCACAGCATTCGCACCAGGCTATTCTGCTTCTGACCAAAAATCCTCTCTCTAAAATGGTCTAGCAGTATTTGTAATCTATGCACATTCTCCTGTATACTTTATTTATTTTTATTTTACTTTTTAAGGAAAGTTTGATTTCTGTTTGAAAGGAAGATTTATAGTGAGAGAAAGTGAATCAGACAGAGACCTTCCGTTTGGGGGTTCACTCCCCACATGGCCATGACAGTCAGGGCTGGGCCAGTTCCAAGCCAGGAGCCTGGAGCGTCTTCCAGATCTCCCACGTCAGTGCAGGGGCCCTGTCTACCATCGCTTTCCCAGGCCACAAACAGGGAGCTGGATTGGAAGTGGAACAGCCGGGACTCAAACCGGTGCCCATATCAGATGCCAGCACCATAGGTGGAAACTTAACCTTTTAAGCCATAGTGCCAGCTCAGACTTGATTAATTTTTTCTTTTTTTTTTTTAATTTATTTTGCTTTTATTTGAAAGGCAGATTTATGGAGAGACAAGAAGAGATAGAGATCTTCCATTCACTGGTTCACCCCCTAAATGGCCACAGTGGCCAGAGCTGGGCGGGTCTGAAGCCCAGAGCCAGGAACTCACTCTGGGTCTCCCATGTGGGTGGCAGACACTCAGCCCTTGAGCCACCTCTGGCTGCTCCTCCTGGCAGCAGCAGGGAGCCAGAATTTGAGGCCGAGTCAAGACCCCCACGCCCCTCACTCCTCTGTCCTTTCTGCCCCGTAATGGGACCCAGCACATGGGAACGCCAAGCAGGTGCTGTGCTGCTGTAGTCTGGGGGCGTACCTGTGGGTGGGTGAATGTGGGGCTAGAACCCGCCGATCCAGCTGTGTGTCGTGGGGATGACAGTCGTGGTCCAGGGTGCGGGGCAGGGCCAGGTTACTGCTGCCTCCTGGGTGGTGGGGTCAGTGTGCTTGGCTGCTGTGTGGCACTGGCTTGGTGTTACTGATTTTGTCCTTGTCACCATCACTGCTCTGTCTGTCCCCCCGAGTCCAGTGCTGGCCGTGACAGGTGTTCAGGGACACCTTGATATGGTGTGACATCTGTCCCCCAACCCTCCCACCTGCTGCAGGTACGAGATCCTGACCCCCAATGCCATCCCCAAGGGCTTCATGGATGGGAAGCAGGCCTGTGAGAAGATGGTGAGTGTGCCTGGGGGCCTGGGGTGTGTATGTGTGCATGTGTGTGCATGCTCAGGGTCAGGCCGTGTGTGTGTGTGTGTGTGTGTGTGTGTGTGTGTGTGTGTGTGTGTGTGTGTGTACAGGGCCCAGATAGGGGAGGTCGGAGGAGGGAAGCTAGGACTCCCCCTCCTTGTTGCCGCTCCCCCATCACTCCTGCCCCTCTCATCACACCCCTCCCCTCTGCTGACCACAGATCCAGGCCCTGGAACTGGACCCCAACCTGTACCGCGTGGGACAGAGCAAGATCTTTTTCCGGGCGGGGGTGCTGGCGCAGCTGGAAGAGGAGCGGGACCTGAAGGTCACAGATATCATCGTGTCCTTCCAGGCAGCTGCCCGGGGATATCTGGCTCGCAGGTGGGGACCGTGTTCTCAGCCAGATGGCCCCTGGTGCCAGGGCACTGAGGGTCCTTTTCCAGGCATGATGGTCTTTGGTGGTTGTCCATGCCTGCTGCCTCCCTCTGTTGCATGTGGCCAGGTCAACAAAGGGGTTGGGGACATGTGTCCCAGCAGGGAGAGCTTGTGCCAGGGTCCTGGGACACAGGTGCCTGGCCTGTTACAGGGATGCAGGGGCTTGTGGGAGAGGAAGCTCAGTACAGAGAGGGGCCTTGGCCAGGGACACTGAGGGGCTGCGGGAGCTGGTGGGGCAGGGCAGGTCTGCTCTGGGAGGCAGGTGGGGGATGGACAAGGCGGGGTGGAGCTGGGGATAAAGCTGAGACAGTACAGCACAGCAGGTGGTTAATAGCAGTTGTCAATGGGACTGCCTTGGTCAGGGGACAGGGCCTGGCAGCCCAAGCACCTCACACTCATGTCTCCCCCTCGCCCCACCCCAGGGCCTTTCAGAAGCGACAGCAGCAGCAGAGCGCCTTGCGGGTGATGCAGCGTAACTGTGCCGCGTACCTCAAGCTGCGGCACTGGCAGTGGTGGCGGCTCTTCACCAAGGTGAGGGGTTTCTGGGGCTCAGCCAGCCTCCCTTCAGCGGCTAGAATGATCACACACACAGCATGAGACAGCCCCTGAACACGTGACAGCACACACAGCATGTGACAGCACACGCAGCATGAGACAGCCCCTGAACACGTGACAGCACACACAGTAATGATATGCAGAACAGGGTACTATGCATGGGGCACTGATGGCACACGGAGAACACGTGTGATGGCACATCTGGGGCTCCACCTGCCTGGGAAGCTCCCCGCAGCCTCGTGGGCAGGAATTTCCTCGAGCTCCCACGTGCCCACATAGCCACATGACCGTCCTACTCCTGCTGCAGCCGCTGCAGGGGTCACTCAGGCCCCGTACGGCCCGAGCCTGCCGGATCTAGCATGTCACCGGCAGAGGCAACACCGTGGGCACCAACTGCAAACCAGGGCGCTTGGGGGCCTGGCCCTTTCCCTCCTGTGGTGGTGAACGCCATGACCTAGGGCAAGAAGGAAGGTACTAGAGTCAGTGAGAATGCAGGAAGAGAAGGCAAGATTGGAGAGAATGACGTGGGAAACAACGGAACAGAAGCCATTGGAGTAGGTCCCACTTGATGAAAGGGAGGGCAGACTGTGACCTCCTGTGTGTGTGAGCATGTGTGCACATAAGTGGGTGCTCCCACCTGGGTGTGAGGTGCAGGTCCCCGTGGACTCTGGGCACAGGCCTTCAAAGACGCTGCCCCACGCCCCAGCACACCGGCCACAGTGCCTCTCGGATGTGGATGGGGAATTCCTTTAGCAAAAAGAAAACAAAACCACGCTGGGAGGCCCAGCACGGTGGCCTAGCGGCTGACGTCCTCACCTTGAACGCGCTGGGATCCCATATGGGCGCCAGTTCTAATCCCGGCAGCTCTACTTCCTGGGAAAGCCTTGGGAACCTGCACCCGCATGGGAGACCTGGAGGAAGTTCTGGCTTCTGGCTTTGGATCGGTGCAGCACCGACCGTTACGGTCACTTGGGGAATGAATCAGCAGACGGAAGATCTTTGTCTCTCCTCTCTGTATATCAGACTTTGCAATAAAAATAAATAAATCTTAAAAATGCACACATACACACACTGGGGGTTCAGAGTGCAGGCAGGCACCCTTCCCTGCCACAGGCTCTTGGGCAGGGGTACCTCACTTCCTCCTTGCTGTGAGACGCCGCTGGCCCTGCAGAGAAGCCAGGGTTTGACGCCTGAGAGCTCAGTCTCCCTGGGCTTTTCTAGGTGAAGCCGCTGCTACAGGTGACGCGGCAGGACGAGGTGCTGCAGGCCCGGGTGCAGGAGCTGCAGAAAGTGCAGGAGCTGCAACAACAGAGTGCCCGCGAGGTGGGCGAGCTCCAGGTCCGCGTGGCTCAGGTGAGGAACAAGGGCCATGGGGTGGGGCGGGGCGGGGCGGGCGGGGCCTTGCTGGAGGGGCGGGGCTTCTGGCTGAGTGGAATGGGTAGGGTGGACGCTGACAGGTGTGCATGGGGAGGTGTAATGGAGGGTTAAACCTTGATGCACTTTGTATTTCCAGTATCATTGCTGTCCCATAGAATGCTGGGTTAGCCCTCTTAAGCCTTTTATGTTTGTACTTTCCCAATTATCTGCTTTGCCTATATTTCGCTGCATAAAAGTAGCAAGTGAAATGTGAAATGGAGGGTAGGCCAGGCAGGAGGAGGGCTGGGAGAACTGGGCAGGGGTGAGTCCTCCGGGAAGGAAGGTGCTCCTGGCCGCCAGGGCTATGGGGACGGAGCTGAGGGACCAGGCAGAGATGGCGGCTGGGGGCGAGCAGTCGAGGGCTGTCCCGGGGGCACTGCCGCTGACTCCTGGCCTTCCCCGGGGTTCCCAGCTGGAGGAGGAGCGCACCCGCCTGGCGGAACAACTGCGAGCAGAGGCAGAGCTGTGCACTGAGGCGGAGGAGACACGGGGGCGGCTGGCAACCCGCAAGCAGGAGCTGGAGCTGATAGTGTCGGAGCTGGAGGCCCGTGTGGGCGAGGAAGAGGAGTGCAGCCGCCAGCTGCAGACGGAGAAGAAGCGGCTGCAGCAGCACATCCAGGTGGGGCCACGTGCCAGCCAGACCCTACACAAACATCCAGGTGTGGCCACATAGCCACCAGACTCACATACACACACATCCAGGTGGGGCCACGTGCCCTCCAACTCCCCACACACATCCAGGTGGGCCATGTGCCAGCCAGACCCCACACAAACATCCATGTGTGGCCACATGCCCTCCAACTCCCCACACACATCCAGATGGGGCCATGTGCCAGCCAGACCCCACACACACATCCAGGTGTGGTCATGTGGCCACCAGACTCACATACACACACATCCAGGTGGGGCCACATGCCAGCCAGACCCTACACAAACATCCAGGTGTGGCCACGTAGCCACCAGACTCACATACACACACATCCAGGTGGGGCCACGTGCCCTCCAGTCCCCCCACAAACATCCAGGTGGGGCCACATGCCCACCAGACCACACACACACATCCAGGTGGGGCTATGTACCCACCAGACTCCCCCCCCAAACACATGCACACCCTCCGTCTGCCTGCCCTTCCCTCCTCTGCTTCCACAAGCCTGCCTTTTGGCAGTTCCCTTGCAGATAACTGGACTCTGAGCAACCTTGAGTTCAGATAATGGGAGGCCCTACTGGGCATGAGCCTCAGGTTTGGCTGGATCCAGGTGTTCTGCCTGCCTTTGCCTCCTGGCTCCAACGGCCCCTGTGCCCCTTCCATCCCAGGGTTCTTCCTCCCCATAGAGGTCTAGTGTGCGTCTGACACTCGGGCACGCTATAGGGGATGCTCCGTTGTCACCAGGAACCCTGGGTCTCTGCTTCCCTGCCGGAGCTTTTACAAAAAGTTGATGGCCCAACGGTTCCAAACTACATCAAAGTCTTCCTGCGATGAAAAGATGTTTAATTTAAAATGCACAAAATCAAATCAGAAAATTCAGTTCTCCAGTTAGGCCAGCCACATTTCAAGGGTTCCATGAGGCTTGAACCCTGGCCTGTTCCTCCACCCCGCTTAGGCCAGGCTCGGGGGAAGGACCTCTGAGGGTGTGCAGGGCCTGAGTCACTGCCTCCAGGGCTGCGGAGGACCGTCCCTTTCACTCCCTGTTCCTCTCCCCTGCCAGGAGCTGGAGACCCACTTGGAGGCCGAGGAGGGGGCGCGGCAGAAGCTGCAGCTGGAGAAGGTGACGACCGAGGCGAGGCTGAAGAAGTTCCAGGAGGACCTGGTGCTGCTGGAGGACCAGAACACCAAGCTGAGCAAGGTGGGGCGGGGGCGGGGCCGCGAGGGCTGTAGGGTGGGGCTTAGATGTGGGGCGTGGTCATGCGCAGTGGGAAGCATGGGGAGTGTGGGTGATGGGGCGTGGCTTGGTGAGAAAGGCGTGGTTGAGTGGTGGGGCGTGGCCATGTGCAGTAGGGAAGTATGGGGGAATGTGGGTGGTGGGGCGTGGCTGTAAGTGATGGGGGCGTGGCTGTGGCAACAGGGGCGGGGCTGTGAACAAGGCTGCAGCGAGGTGGGGCGCCTCCCCATGGCAAGCTCAAGCCTGATGGGTTGAGAGTGTCCATGGAGGGCAAGGGGTGTCCAGAAAGCAACAATTCAGAGCTCAACGCGGCTGAGAACTGGACAGTCTCTGGCCAGGCTGTACACGATTGAACAAGCAGCAAAGAGGGAAAAAAAGAGCAAAGAGAAAAAAAAAGAGCAGGAGATGGAGGCCTGGGCACCAAGCCAGGGAAGGAAGCTTAAGCGCCATGTTTCTCTCGCTCACAGCTTAGCAACTGCAGAGGGGCTGTGGGGACATAGGCACCCGTGAGAGTGCAGCCCGGTCCTTCCCCAGGCCAGCTCTCTGCAGCCAGGGCTTGGCATCTGTGGGCTCAGCCTAGTGCGGATGGAAGCATCTGTTTAAAGCACAGGGCTGGGCGTGTGTAGTCCGAACGCATAAGTAACACGGCTTCCCGGCTGCTGACCCCACTTTGACCTTGCATCAGACATTGTCGGCTGTTCTGCAGGGGAGGGAGCATGGGCCCTCCGGGGATGCTGGTGTTGGCAAGGGGTCCCAGAATCCCACTCGCAGGTGTGTGATCAGTAATCACGGGATCCGGAATGGCCGCCCCAGCCACGTGTGCTTGTGTCAAGTCCCACCTCAGTCCCGTACACACGTCAGATGCTCAGTAGCATCTGTGGACAGTGTGGAGGTGGAACACTGGCATTAATCAGAACATTCTCTTGGCTGGAGTGCCTAAATCCAGCTTTTTCTGGCTGTGTCTATTGGATTGCTGGTGCAGTGATGCTCACAGATGCCCCGCAGTCTCAGTGGCTGCCTGCTGCCTGGAGCTGCCGGCTGGCTAGGCTCGGGCCCCGGCTGAGACGCACCTTGTGGTGGCAGCAGCCCTTGGCCAGGTCTTCTTGTGTCCAGTGCAAGTACAGAGGCTGCAGCCCGCGCCTGTCACCTCCTCCATGCCTATCACAGCCACCTGCTTTCTGCTGACTGCAGCTGGAGACCCTCCAAGGGGTAGATGTGTGTGGCAGATAGAACATGGGTGGTGTCTCCTGGCCTCGTCCACTCTGTCTTGTGCCTGCCTGCTGAAAAGCTGTGCCCAGTCCACTGTGGTAGGGTAGGATAAAAGTGATGGATTAGTATTAGGAATAGGGTTAGCATCAGGGTGGGGGCTAGGGTCGGGATTAGATTTATGTTATGGTCAGTATTAGGGCTAGGGATCAGGGCTTAAGAATAGGGTTGGCAGTCAGGTTAGGGTTGGGAATGAGGCATTAGGGTTAGGGTTGGGGATAAAAGATTAGAGTTAGGATTAGGGCTAGCGTTAGGATGAGGATTAATGTTAGTGTTAAGGGTTAAGGATAAGGAGTTAAGATTAGGGGTTAAGGGGCTCAGTGTGATGGCTCAATGGCTAAATCCTCACCTTGTAAGCGCCAGCATCTCATATGGGCACCAGTTCGTGTCCTGGCTGCTCCATTTCCCATCCTGCTCCCTGCTAATGGCCTGGGAAAGCAGTAGAGTACAGCCCAAAGCCTTGGGGACCCTTCACCCATGTGGAGGGTATGGTGTGGAGGCACCTGGGCTGGCCCCTGACTGCCTCTACCACCCCACAGGAGCGGAAGCTGCTGGAGGAGCGGCTGGCCGAGTTCTCGTCCCAGGCGGCCGAGGAGGAGGAGAAGATCAAGAGCCTCACGAAGCTGAGGCTCAAGTATGAGGCCACCATCGCCGACATGGAAGGTGAGTGCTGTGGGGCGGCGACGCGGGGCAGGCCTGCTGCAGGCTGGGGGGCCACAAGGGGACAGGAAGGGCGGCGGGATGCACTGAGCGCCCTCCCAGCCCCACAGTCTTATTTCCATCTTTTACTGTGGGCTTGGAAGGGACAGAAGGAGGAAGGTGGCCACAGGGTAGAGGCAGGAGGCAAGGAGGGCAGCGTGTGTGTGTGTGTGTGTGTGTGTGTGTGTGTGTGTGTGTGTGTGTGGTGGAGGGGAGGGCCCTCACGATGGGACAGCTGAGTGCTGGGCTCTGAGTGCCGGGCTCTGCCCCTGCAGACCGCCTGCGGAAGGAGGAGAAGGGCCGCCAGGAGCTGGAGAAGCTGAAGCGGCGGATGGACGGGGAGAGCTCGGAGCTGCAGGAGCAGGTGCTGGAGCAGCAGCAGAAGGCGGAGGAGCTGCGCATCCAGCTGGGCCGCAAGGAGGAGGAGCTACAGGCGGCGCTGGCCAGGTGCGCTGGGCAGGCAGGCGGGCAGGGGCAGCCAGGGTGCTGCAGGCAGAGCCTCCTGAGTCCCCGTGTCCGTGGAGGCCACCAGGTCCCGGGGAGAGAGCCACGGGCGTCATGTGCCCAGCAGTCAGCAGGGCGCTTGGGGCGAGAGAGGAGGGAAGTGCAATTCCACACTCCACCTCCCTCGTGTCGCTCACGATGACTGAGCACCCTGCATATCAGACATGGTGCTCAGGGCATTTCCAGGGCTTTTTATGTTTGGGGCATCCTGCACCCTAAGAAGCCCTTGGCTTCAGAAACAGGTCTGGGTCAGGGTGGGAGAACGTGCGCGTTCTCCCTGTGCTGTGTGTGGGGTGGGTGGAGGTAGGACTGAGCAAACTGGAGTCCCCTTTTGGGTTCAGGTGCTGGCTCCTCCCTGAGGTGACATCATCTCTTTAGCCTCAGTTTCCTCATCTGTAAAATGGGGATGATTACAGAAGCTGCTCCTAGCATTAATACAAGGAGGGGTGCATCCAAAGTACAAAGTACTAAGCCCCCCAATAAATTATACATATACATTTATTTAGAATTTATACTGATTTTTTTGTTTGTCAAGGGGAGAGGGTCCTCCCATCTGTCAGTTGATTCCTGAGATGCCCAGCTGGGGCTGGGTGAAGCCAGGAACTCAGCCCAGATCCCCACACAGGTGGCAGGGACTGCTGCTTGAGCCGGCCCCTGGTGCTTCCCAGGGAGCTGGGACTGGGAGGGGAGCGGGACAGGAGGCCCAGCTCCCTGTGGCAGGGCGCCGGCATCCCACACCGTGGCCAATGCCTGTGCCAGCGTTAGGGGTTTTGTTACTACTACTTGTCCTCTTCTTGTTCCCCGCCCCCCTTGCATTAAGATAGAACTCACAAACATCCCTTTTGGTGTGCAGTGCAGTCCATTCTGCCACTCACAGTGCTGGGTGACCCTCATCTCTGGTGTTAAACATCCCATGCCCCAGAGGAGCCCCTGTGCCCACCCAGCTGCCACTCGCTATCCCCAGCCATCACAAAGCCACACTCCCTGGGCTCTGGGTTGGGCTCAGCGACAGCCTCTCTCAGGCCAGGGCAGGGGACAGAGGACACAGCCTAGGCCAGAGGTCCACAGTTCAGCTTCCGTTTGCACTGGAAAAGGGGATGCTGCAGGCTCTGCCCATCTGAGCAATCCTTGCAGGGCCTTTCCCACACACACCATGCCTCAGTTTCCTCATCTGGCCTGAACATGAAATAAGACAGCACGGTCAGGCGCTTGTGTGGGGGCAGGGATCAGCATTGCTGGGGGACTCAGCACTGTTACAGATAAGACAGCTGAAGTCATGGACCCCCAGGGCAGAGTTGGCATTGGAACCCAGGAGTGTGTGTGTCCCCAGTCAATCCTGCGTCTGTTCCTCCATCCCCAGAGATCACCCCCACCCCTGCCTGCCCTGAATCAACTCCACGGTCCTTGTCACCACCTCAGGGCCGAGGACGAGGGCGGGGCCCGGGCCCAGCTGCTCAAATCCCTGCGGGAGGCCCAGGCTGGCCTGGCCGAGGCCCAGGAGGACCTGGAGGCTGAGCGGGCGGCCAGGGCCAAGGCAGAGAAGCAGCGCCGGGACCTGGGCGAGGAGCTGGAGGCGCTGCGGGGGGAGCTGGAGGACACGCTGGACTCTACCAACGCACAGCAGGAGCTCCGGTGAGGCTGGTGCCCCTGGCAGGACAGGGCCAGCACCAGGACTGGGTGCAGGCAGGGGATGGGTGGGACCTGGAGAGAATGGGGCGGAGCCAGAGGTGAGGTCTGGAGCTGGTTGGGGTAGGGCTGGGAAGGGGCAGGGCCTGAAGAGAGTTGGGGCAGGACCTAGGCAAGAACAGTGGGCTGCGGGGCTGCCGTGGAGCAGACCTGGAGAGGGATGGAGCGGAGCCGGGAATAAGAGGGGCGAGGCTGCTTGCTCACCAAGGTTAAACATCAGCTCTGGGCCCCAGGTGGGCCATGCTGGGGACAGAGGAGTCAGACCTGGGCGTTACAGCCAGGAGCTTCCAGTCTCAGGGGAGACACACAGGTCCAGTCCAGAGCTGAAGGGAGTGTGGGTCGTGATCCGGGAAGACTTCCCGGAGGAGGGGCCCCATAGATAAAGAGCTGAGCACTGGCTCACCCTTAAAGCCACACCCTTCCCCCAACACTGCCCAGGTCCCTGGAGGAGGGGCGAGGGACGGTCCACAGAAGCACAGCCAGCTGCGGGGGACCCCCAGAGTCCTGAATCCTCACCTTCCCCTCTCTGGAATTCCTTTCCTCCTTCTTCTATAAAAGGACCAAGAGGGAGCAGGAGGTTACAGAGCTCAAGAAGACGCTGGAGGAGGAGACGCGAGTTCACGAGGTGGCAGTGCAGGAGCTGAGGCAGCGGCACAGCCAGGCACTGGGGGAGCTGACGGAGCAGCTGGAGCAAGCCCGCAGGGTGAGTGTGGGGGCGTCTGTGGGGCGGGGCCAGGGAGGGGCTCGGGGGTGGGGCTGTGGGTGGGGCCTACGCGGGAGGCGGGGCCAGGGAGGAGCCTCTGGAGGGGGTGGGACTGTGGGTGGGACCTGTGCAGGATGAGGGGCCCCTGAAGGGGGTGGGACTGGGGGGGGGTCTATGCGGGAGGCGGGGCCAGGGAGGAGCCTCTGGAGGGGGTGGATCTAGGGAATCTGGGGGGCTTCTGAAGGAGGTGGGGTCATGGGGCTGGGCCAGGACTGGGACTTCTGGATGACTGCAGGCAGCACATCTTGCTGGGGCTCTTTCCTCACCTATGCGTGCCCTCATCCATGGTTACGAAGCGTGTACGGTGCTTCAGGAAGGGAGTTGTGGACAGAGCCGGGTCCTCCCTCAGCAGGAGAGGATGCCAGCACTCAGGCCACACCCTAGCATGGGGTGGCAGGTGCCGTGGGAAGATGAGGAACAGGACAGGGGGACCCAAGTGCTGAGAAGGGCACTGTGATGTTAACCAGGCTTACAGAGGTTCTGGGAGAAGGTGACTCTAAGCAGAACTGGGGGAGGTGAGGGCTGAGCAGCCTGGCGTCGGGAGTACCAGGCGGGGCAAGCCGGGGCAGAGGCCATGGGCAAAGAGTGTGCCTGGCTGGTGGAGGGGAGGACTCAGCACTCTGTTTGTTGCCCTCCTTGCCAGGGCAAAGGGGCCTGGGAAAAGACACGGCTGGCCCTGGAGGCCGAGGTGTCGGAGCTGCGGACAGAGCTGAGCAACCTGCAGAGTGCGCGGCAGGAGGGAGAGCAGCGACGGCGCCGCCTGGAGTCCCAGCTGCAGGAGGCACAGGGCCGGGCTGGCGACGGAGAGCGGGCCCGCCTGGAGGCTGCCGAGAAGCTGCAGCGAACACAGGTGAGCGAGGGCCGCTGGCAGCCTCGGTGCAGTGCCCGCCAGCTCCCGCCAGCTCCAGGCTTTCGTTTGAGCCACACCTGCTGTGAACAACACAGTCACACCTGAGCAGCTGGTGTCCACCTGGGCAGACATTCATAGGGAATAGCTGAGTATTGTTCCTGTTTTGGATGCGAGGACACGGAGGACCCCAGAAATCAGGTAGCTTGCTCAAGGTCCCTCAGGCTGGAGCTCAAATCCGGGTGTGCCTGCTCCCTTGGCTCTCAGCCTTGTCACCATACGCCCCTTCTGTCCTGCCTTTCAGCAGTCAGGGCTCCTGGGGTGGAACACCGAATGGTGGAGAACCCTCTGCTGCTGCTAAAACTAGTCAAAGAAACATTGGTTTAAAAAGCGAATGTCACATATTCAACTCAGTGACATATTTTACCCTCTGTTCATGACTGAGAATTCAGACAAGCAAAGGGAGTCAATGGAACAACAGTTTTAAATTCACTGGCCCACCAGGAGACACCACTGATTTTCGTTTCCAGCATAAGTTATATATTAGAGAAAAGGCAAAGCTGCTATAGGAAAGAGACTCCCACAAAAAAAAAAAAGTGGGAGAGACAGAGACACTCCCAGAATTCATCAGCTGACATGAGACCCGTGCCTCTCCCTGTCCAACAAGAGGTGGATGCTGTGTTCCTTCAAGGCCCCAAGACCCTTGGACTTGATGTTCCCCCTCCAGGGACATGACCTTTCTGTTCATCCTCAACTGTGCAAACATCTGGGCTGCAGCTTAGCAAAGGCAAACAAAGACATGACAGAATTGATGCCCATTGGTTTGCTTACATTCCATTGGCTCAGCTTCATCACATGACCACAGTTAGCTGCAAGGGAGGCTGGGGGATGTAGTTTCTAGCAGTCAGTTACAAGGGGAGCCTGAAGAACAGACTGGGAACAGCTAGGTTCTGCCTCAGATGGAGTCTTGCTACCTCTTGGCCACTGTACCAGGCCCTTTACCTGTAATAAAAGTTAGGAGTGAAACTGAACGTGAGTTCTCAGCAGAACTGCCCCCACAATGCTCTGTTCACATTGTCCATGCACCACATCTGGTCCTAACAACATGCATGGTGATGATTTCAGTGGAGGAGCTCAAGTGTGACTTCTGTTGCTTTAATCACTTGAGGTCCAGGTTGTCGTATGTGGCTTGCGGCCTCAGCACTGAACATGGCAACCCTAGAGCCATTTTCCCTCCACCGCAGTTGCAGTTCCCCACTTACAGCTGTGTGATCCAGGGCCACCACCTAACCTCTCTGCTTCAGCTGCCCTCTGCTTAATCTGAGGATGATACTGATACCCACCTGCTAGGGCTGGTGTGAATTCAAAGAGCCTGACCTGGGCCAAGGCAAAGCCAGGAGCCAGGCACTCAGCACTGATTTCACCATGGGAGAGACTTGAGCCATCAGCTTCCAACTCACAGGGCACACAATAGCAGGCAGCTGGAACCGGGGAACAGTCAGGGCTCCGACTCAGGCACTCGGATTCGGGATTGACCAGGCACCGTCTTGACCGCTGTGCCAACCCCCTGCCCCACACACATGTTCCTCAGAGACAAACGCTTTCGCTTCCCCTGGGCATACATCAGAGAGCAGAACTGCTGGATCAAGCGCGAGCTCTGAGACAGTTGTGCCTTTTCAAGTTCACGCAGGGTAGGGATTTGAGATGCCATTGGGCTAGGGTAGACAGAGGTGGCCGATGAAAGGCCTCACTTAGCTGTCTTCTCTCCACAGGCTGAACTCGAGACCATGTCCGGCGCCCTGAGCGAGGCTGAATCCAAAGCCATCAGGCTGGGCAAGGAGCTGAGCAGCACAGAAGCCCAACTGCATGATGCCCAGGTGACCAGCCTGCCCTTGACCTCACCGTGACCCTCCCTGCTTGTCCTTCTTCTGCCTACCCCCAACCTCCATCATCTCTCCTCTGTCCACAGGAGCTGATGCAGGAGGAGACGAGAGCCAAGCTGGCCCTGGGCTCCCGGGTTCGAGCCATGGAGGCCGAAGCAGCCGGGCTGCGGGAGCAGCTGGAGGAGGAGGTGGCTGCCAGGGAGCGGGTGGCCCGGGAGCTGCAGGCTGCCCAGGTCCAGGTGAGTCACCCCAAGCAGCCCGTGCAGGGAGGTTAGGTCCCCAGGCTATACTTTGCTCAACAATGACTCCGGCAAGACGATTTGCTCCTGGTCTGGCACCTGCATGCTGTCCCCATGTTCTTCCTTCCTCACTGGCCACTGTGCCAGTCTGGCCCCGCTGTCCTTGCTCTGCTCTGACCTACACTGTTTATCTACCCGGCCCCAAGCCCAGCTCTGGCTCTGGCTCAGGCCTCTTCCTCTAACACCTGGGCCAGTCTCTCTTCTCCATCCAGTTCATCCCCTGTGGGTTCTTTTTTACACCAGAGCTGTCCTGCCCAGCCCAGCCCTGGCAGCTCTCACAGTGCTCCCACAGCTCCCCGTGCCCCCTAGACAAAGCCCAGTGTGCTTGGTGTTCACCTTCACCTTCATCCCTGCTCCCCAGTTTTGCTCAGAAAACCCCGTCCATCCTCTAGACTTACCTAGCCTCCCCGGCTGCTGACCGTCTCCCTCACATGCCTGCTTGCTTTCCTCCCTCCTAACTCTGGTCACCCAGGACCGAAGCTGTCTCTGTCCTTGAATGTCCCCACAGTGAGCCCCTTCTGAGTGGGGACCTGTGAGTTAGGCCTGGGTCCCCACACAGAGCCTGTGCATGGTGGGCCATGAGAAGGGCCTTTTGGATGAGGAGGGCCATGATGGCTCCTGGTGATGGCTCCAGGAGTGTTTAGTTGCTGAACTCCTACAAACGCCTGAAGACCTGTCTCAAATGTCCCATCCTCTGGGAAGCGTCCTGAATGTTCTAAATGGATCCTAACCCCTCTCATGGACTTCTGTGGGACATCTACTTCTTAGGCCTTAAGCTACAGGCTCCTGGCTGCAACAGTTCATCTCCCTGACCTTACTGGGTGCTCCCCAGTGAGAAAATGAAGATAGGGCCCATGGCCTTCATACTCTCAACTACACTCTGAGGCAGAAGAGCCCCATGGAGCGACAACTTTCCCCGTTCAGGCAACCATATCCTCCTTTGGGAAATGGGGCTTGGTTTGCCCACGCCTTGGTCCCTCACATCCGCGGCTCTGGCTTCTCCCCTGTACCTTCAGCTCACAGACTGGCGGCGGCGCCAGGAGGAGGAGGCTTCTGCCCTGGAAGCAGGGGAGGAAGCCCGGCGCAAGGCAGCCCGCGAGGCAGAGACCCTGGCCCAGCGCCTGACGGAGAAGACGGAGGCCGTGGAGCGGCTAGAGCGGGGGCGGCGCCGGCTGCAGCAGGAGTTGGACGACGCCACTGTGGACCTGGAGCAGCAGCGGCAGCTCGTGAGCACACTGGAGAAGAAGCAGCGCAAATTCGACCAGGTGGGGCTGGCAGTCAGTCGCTGGGGCAGCTGTGCTGTGGCCAGGGGTGGCGAGAGGCAGGGTCGGCTTCCTTGGGGCCTCTGTGAACTGGGGCACTTGTCTGGCCTGGTTTATGTCTTTTGTCCCAGCATCACTCTCCACCATCACCCACAGCAGCACGTTTTATCTCAGAGGGGTGCTGGTTGGGTGTTGACCTATGGCTACCCCAAGGGCTGCTCCTGGGGACTAAATGAAGTAACACATCTCACTGTTCAGTTATTAGGCTCTTTGTTTTTTTTTTTTTTTTTTTTTTCAAGCAAGCTGCTTTTACCATCTCAACCTTGCTCTGTCCATCCAGAAAATGGGAACGACAGCACAGGTGCAGCAGCCTGAGAATGAGGCAGAAATCCGAGAACCCCCAGAGAGTTCAGATCAGGCCTCATCCCAGGCAGGGCTTTTTCTGGCTGTGGCATTGGGCGGCTGCCGAATGGGGCTCTGTGTCCCTTGTTTTGGTCACTTGGAACATGCAAGAGGAGGGTGTCATGAATTTGCTTTCGTGTTTGAGAGGCAGCCTAGATGCAGAATTAGAGACAAATGCTGCTCTCGTACCATCGTCTCAGGGCGCCATTGTCTCCAGTTGAAAGTCTGCATCAGCCGGCCCATCCTCTCCGAGGGGCTCAGGTAACAGGTTTCTAGCTCCTTTTAAAGTGGTTTCAGTTGGTTGTCGTTATCCTCCTTCAGATTCGCTGAGCTTCCTGCAGCTCTAACTCAATTTTTTTTAGATCAAATTGGAGCTTTTAAGCCATTATTTTTGTTTTTTCTGTCCCCTCTCTCCTTATAGGTGATACATATACAAATGCATGTGTAAATAATTGTTTAACCATCTCACAGGTTACTGAGGCTATCTTAGTGTTTTAAATCTTTTTAAAATATTTATTTTGCTAAAATATTTATTATGCTAAGAAAACGAACCAATCCCAAAAGGTTAAATACCACATGTTTGCCTTAATTTGAGATGAAAAGATGTCAATCTGGAAAATAGTACCCGTATATTGTAATATTATTGCAACCTCTGACAGCCTGTATCCAATGCAATAAGATAATGTGTTGTAATCTATAAATCAACACTTAATGTGAGTCAGACTGCTTATGATCTACATCAAAGAACTGTAAAACCTAAAACACTCTTAATACCCTATGTTATGCCGTAATGGGGAGGGAATGCAGAGAAATCTTCCATCTCCATAAAAAGTGTGAGGAAGACGTGAAATATAGCCTATCAGGATCAAATCTGGTAACTCATAGACAACAGACTCAAGTTGACACTAGACAATTGTAAAGCTACACAGGCATAAGGGGGGGGGATATTTATTTGTTTTAATTAGAAAGTCAGATATACAGAGAGGAGAACAGATAGAGAGGAAAATCTTCCATCCACTGATTTACTCCCCAAATCGCCACGACCAGCTGGAGCTGCATTGATCTGGAGGATCCCAGAGCCTCTTCCAGGTCTCCCATGTGGGTGCGGGGTCCCAAGGCTTTGGGCTGTCCTAGACTGCTTTCCCAGGCCACAAGCAGGGAGCTGGGTGGGAAGTAGGGCCACTGGGATTAAAACCAGTGTCCATATGCGATCCCGGGCTTGCAAGACAAGGACTTTAACTGCTAGGCCACTGTGTCAGGCCCCAATGTTTTAAATTTTATATAAGCTATTTTTTAAAAAGATGTATTTATTTTTATTGCAAAGTCAGATATACAGAGAGGAGGAGAGACAGAGATGCAGATCTTCTGTCTGTTGATTCACTCCCCAAGTGATCACAATGGCTGGTGCTGTGCCAATCCAAAGCCAGGAGCCAGGAACTTTCCTCCAGGTCTCCCATGTGGGTGCAGGGCCCCAAGGCTTTGGGCCATCCTCGACTGCTTTCCCAGACCACAAGCAGGGAGCTGGATGGCAATGAACCTGTGCCCATAAGAATGCTGGCACTTGGAGGTGGAGGGGGTTAGCCAATTGAGCCATAACGTCTGGCTAGGCTTTTCTTTTCTTAGTAAAAAAAAAATTCTTTTGGTAATTTTATGTGAAAGGAAAATTAACAGAGAAGGGGAAATAGGCCTCTGATCCACTGATTCATTCCCTAAATGGCTGCAACAGCCACTGTTGAACCAGTCTGATGCCAGAGCCTGGACCCCCATTCGGGTCTTCTATGTGGGGTGCTCAAGCAATCAGGCCATCGTCTGCTGCCTTCCAAGGTATATTAGCAGGGAGCTGGACTGAACATGGAGTAGCCAGGACTCAAACCGGTGCCCCTGTGGGATGGCAGTGTTGCAGGCAGCAACTTGATATGCTGCCCCTGTTTGATGGTTTTGGTGCTATCTCTGAGATATTTTATTTCCGTTTCTGCCTGCTGGTATGTAGTCATACAGGCTGTCACTCATGTCCTGCCAGCTTGGCTAAAATCACTTACTAGTGCTAGTAGCTTTGTTACAACTTTTCGTCTAGTTTTCTTGCACAGTTGGTTATGGTTTATATATGATGGAAGTTCTTTACCTTTCTTCTGGGACTCCGAATGCAGAGGCTCCTATGTCCGTCTGCTGGATACTCTCCAGCAGTTATGAAGGCTATGTCAGTTGCTTTTACAATCTTGTTTCTTTCTTGGCCATGCTTGGATAACATCCATGGGCTTGAGTTCAATTTTATTGATGTTTTTTCACATGGCCAATCTGCTCTTGATTTTCTAGATTTTAGATGGGACAGTTGTCTGGGCTGGCATTTCTGTCTGGTTCTGTTGGACAGCCTCGGGTCGCTCCTTGAAACAGCCATGTCCCCACCCTCCCCCACACACCCCCATCATCTCCAACTTCGTCTACAAGTGTGCTGACTGCGCCAAGTCCCTGTGCGCTCATGCAGTGAGGAAATCGTCCAGGGGTCTTTTATCAGTTGATTATTTTTTCTTCTTCTCATGAATCTTGTTCTTGTTTGCTGAACACCTTATGTTTGTTTGCCAGCTATGGTATCTTTTTGAGAAAACGGGAAATGTTGAAGTCTCTGTAAAAAGTGTCCTATGTCTTGTTTTGGGCCACCACCCCTAAAGGACTAGCCAGTGAGAGCCGCCTGGGAATTGAGCCAGTTTGGGATGTGGCTGTGACTGAATCCTCCACCTCCCTTTGGGTCTCCCTCCCATGGCTGCTTCTCGCAGCTAAATCTCTTCCCCACATCCTGCAGCTCCTGGCGGAGGAGAAGGCGGCTGTGCTGCGAGTGGTGGAGGAACGAGAGCGGGTGGAGGCGGAGGGCCGGGAGCGCGAGGCCCGGGCCCTGGCCCTGACGCGGGCGCTGGAGGAGGAGCAGGAGGCCCGCGAGGAGCTGGAGCGCCAGAACCGGGCGCTGCGGGCGGAGCTGGAGGCGCTGCTGAGCAGCAAGGACGACGTGGGCCAGAGCGTGAGCAGGCGCGGGCGCAAGGGGGGACAGGCACGCGGGCTCACACAGGCCTGCACAGGCCAGAGCAAAACACACATGTGTGCAGGGGTGAGGGCAACCTGCCAGCAGATACCCCACTCACACACATGCACCACACACACACACCAGCACCGGCACACACATGCCATGCACATACATAGGAGCACCCATACAGACACTAACACCTACACACATGTACCATACACGCACTCACGTGAACACCTGCACATGTGCACCTCACGTGCCCACAGTATGACAGTTCCCGGCTCTTCCTAACCCACCCTCACAGACCGCACAGATTCCTCAACTCGTGTCTGCCCGGCTCCTAGTTTCTCTCAGACCTGCAGGGGGTGCCCCAGGCCTGTTCTAGGTCCTTGTCACCCATCTGGCTTCCAGGCTTCTGAAGAGCCAAGCAGGTCCACTACGTCCTTCGCTCCTTCATCCTTCCATCCCCTGCATACACTGTGGCCTGACCCAGGGTCGAGTCACCCTCCTGGACCACAGGAGGCACGGGCAGAATTCTGTGATGCTGGGTCCCAGGGCAGACACCCTGGTACTTCCTGACTTTAAAACAGCGCACACCTCTGGCCTTCTGGACACAGCAGGTTCAGCAGAGCTGCAGAGACCGCCCTGCACGCCTATATACATATCATGCCCCTCCCCTGCCTCATGCACGCCCTGGTTTAAGGTAACTCCAGAGGCCTTTGTGGGAAATGGGATGTTGACACAAGCAAGCCCAACCCCTTCCTGTAAAGAAAATTAACTATTAGGTGGCAGACTGGAGGGGAGGTCCCTTCCCAGACCTCAGGTAGGCCCTGGCACTGACCAGAATTTAACCGACATGGCGGGTACCCAGGATGTGGGCCCTGCCCACTGCGGCACCCTGTCCACCGCCAGAGGCAGGTATTGAAGGAGAACAGCAGGCAGCTGCTGTGAGGCAACGGTTGTGATGAGGGTCAAGAGGAGGAGGGCTGTGGACATGGGGTGGGTGGCAGGGACGCCTGGAAGGTCAAGGGCACTGCGGGGGCAGGGGGCTCCAGGGAGCTCTTAGAATTAAAGAGAGCACCTGGGTTTTCATTTTCACTGCCCTCCCAGAAGCTCGAGGAACCCCCAAGCTGAGAAGAAAATAGAGGCAGATACTGGGTTGCTGAGCCCCTGGGGAGTCTGGCTGGCGGCCCAGGAGCTGCACGCCCTTGACCCATTTTCATGTAAGAGTCCCAGAGACCCGGCCCAGGAGTGAGCTCCCAACCCTGAATTACACGGCCTCCGTGAGTGGCAGCTCACCCAGCAGGCCCTGCCACAGTGCTCCCCCGGGCTTCAGACAACATCACCAACACTCAGGTTCCCTCTGAGATCAGCCTCAGAATGGCTCAGTGACACGTGAGAAATGTGTAGGAAGGTGAATGAATGAATGAACCAGGGTGACAGTTTGTCCTACAGACTCCCTCTCCCCATCCACGCACCTCCCACCCTCCCCGGGGTCCCACCTCCCTTCGCAGGCACCCAGGCCCACCGTCCCTCCCACCAGGTGCATGAGCTGGAGCGAGCCCGCCGCATGGCAGAACAGGCAACCAACGACTTAAGAACTCAGGTGACAGAGCTGGAGGATGAGCTGACTGCGGCTGAGGATGCCAAACTGCGCCTGGAGGTGACGGTACAGGCGCTGAAGGCGCAGCACGAGCGGGACCTGCAGGGTCGTGATGAGGCTGGCGAGGAGAGACGGAGACAACTGGCCAAGCAGGTGATTGGGGGCGAGGGGGTAGTGCTACAGAGCCAGCAGTGGAGCGTGCCCTGCTGCAGAGGAGCCCAAGCATCTTGCCCAAAAGCCCCCTGTGACTCATGAGCCACACGCTTCCTGCTGACACCCAAACACCCAGCCACAGTCACCCATCACCCAACTAGGGGACAAGCGCTGCGTGCAGTGCATGGGTTGCAAGGACCCCTCTGGGGCCTGTGGGTGGGAGGGGGTGGTGAGGAGTCTGTCCACATTGTTCCCTTTGCTAAGCCACACTGAGTGCCAGGAATGCACCAGGGGGCTGGGGAGCCACGGGGGACCACTGCATGCGAACTACACAGAGATGGGAGGGAAGGGAGACATGGAAGGTCAGGAAGGGGTGTGTGTGGGGGGAGGAAGCCTGAGCTGGGGCTGTGAGGATGGCAGGGCTCCCTGGGGGACATGGAGCCTCTCACCCTGTGCCCCCCGCCAACCCCAGCTGCGAGACGCCGAGGTGGAGAGGGACGAGGAGCGCAAGCAGCGGGCCTTAGCGGTGGCCGCCCGCAAGAAGCTGGAGGCTGAGCTGGAGGAGCTGAAGGCTCAGACGGAGTCCGCAGGGCAGGGCAAGGAGGAGGCGGTGAAGCAGCTGCGGAAGATGCAGGTGAGGGCGGAAGGGGCGGGAGAGCAGGGCTAGGACCTGGCCGAGGCCAGGCGCTGGAACTCCACCCGGGGCTCCGAGGCCAGCTCCGAGGCCACCATCTGCCCTGGGTCTGTGTTAGCAGGAAGCTGGAGCCGGGCGTGGGATCTGGGACTCAAACCCTGGCACTTAAATATGGAATGTGCACCTCTGAACTGTCAGGCCCAAACAGCTGCCCCAAAAAGTCCACTTTGACTCCATTTTCCTTGTTTTTATTTTGGTTAAAAAAAAAAAAAAAAGCTTTATAGGATTTTAAAAAAAGGTGTTGAAGGTAATAGACCTATTGCTTTAAAAAATTATGTGCTGTGTGCACGTTACAAGCACCATGCAGGGCCCTGTGTGTACGTACAGTCAGGACGTGACAATCCAGTTTTGAAACCTCTGCTGAGAGGAGTGGCTAGCCCGTCCCAATGCAGCAGGCACCAGCCTCAGGTAGCCATCACACTGCAGCACGGCAGGCCTGACATCCAACCTGTATGCCGACTCTCAGAAACAGCCCCCAAAATAATAGGACATTTCAGTAAGTTTTTGTGTTAGTGATAAATGAACAGAACCTTTTGCACACTTGGGCTAAATATGATGTAAGGTTCAGAGGCAGGTGTTGTAACACACCAGCTTAAACTGGTGTTCCAAACACCTAAACCCAGTCCAGCTGATAAACCAGACCCACCTGTGGGTCCCCAGCTGCCTTCCAGGCAACTGCTTCCCTTACGCACCAGGGAACTGAGAGCCCCAGAGGTGTGGGGACTGAACGAGGGTCGCCCAGGCAGCAGCCCCAAAGGTCTTTGGACTGTGTGAGGTGTGGGCTCCCCCGGAGGAACCCCGCACAGCTGAGCCCGTCCGCCGCTCCGTCCCGCCCAGACCCAGATGAAGGAGCTGTGGCGCGAGGTGGAGGAGACCCGCACCTCCCGGGAGGAGATCTTCGTTCAGAGCCGCGAAAGTGAGAAGCGCCTCAAGTGGCTGGAGGCGGAGGTGCTGCGGCTGCAGGAGGTGAGGTGTGGGGCGGGGCAGGGTGCTGGGTAGGGCCCTGAGGATGGGCGGGACCCAAAAATGGGCTAGGTGGGGTGCTGGGTGGGGTGCTGCGTGGGTGCTGGGCGAGGCGCTGCGCAGGGCAATGGGCAGGGCATTGGGCAGCACTGACCTGGAGGCCTCCAAACTCTTGTCTTGGAGCACTTGGGAGCCTAGAAAGTTCCAGGGAGGGGAAGGGGACCAAAAAGAACCTTTGGGAGTGTCCCGGTGAGAGGAGAAGCCTGAGGAAGAACAGGTCTGAACTTGATGGAAGTGAATAGGATGAGGGGCCTGGGGTCAAGCAGCCAGAGGACATGGGCTAAAGCTAGGGACATGGGAGGAGCTTAAGAGGCTGAATTCAAGGTTGCCCAGGGAGAGCTGTTCACACCCAAGAGTGACCCAGGGCCGGAGAGCTCCCTCCCCAACCCGGCTGACCACCCTGTCCATGGTCGCAGGAGCTGGCCGCCTCTGACAGAGCCCGGCGGCAGGCCCAGCAGGACCGGGATGAGATGGCCGATGAGGTAGCCAATGGCAACCTGAGCAAGTGAGTAGCATGAGACGCGGAGGGCAGGGGGTGAGGGAGGCCCCCTCGTCTGGCTGTGCTGCCCACTCAGCCCTGGCTTGTCCTGCTGTCCCCAGGGCAGCCATTCTGGAGGAGAAGCGCCAGCTGGAGGGGCGCCTGGGGCAGCTGGAGGAGGAGCTGGAGGAGGAGCAGAGCAGTGGGGAGCTGCTCAACGACCGCTACCGCAAGCTGGTCCTGCAGGTGAGCTCGCGGGGTGCGGCTCCGACCTCTGGAGCAACCCAGAGGTTCTGTCCGCGTCAGGTGCTGAATGTTGTGTACGAGTTCTTGGCAGGGAGGCATGACACACCGGCTCACCTGAGTTTTTGAGGCTTCTCACAGGCTACACCCAAACATGTCTCGTGTGGGAACCCTAAGACTGTTCTGCTGTCTCAGTGTCGCATGAAGAGAGAGAGGCAGGAGCGCATTGGAGAGACAGTTGGCTAGGGTTTTACAAGTGTAAGCCAGAGAATAGCAGGAGAGCACAGGCTTTTGTGTGCACGTTGGTTTGCAAGCACTTCCTGAACTTTCTGGAGCCTAGAGCCTGCTGTAGGCCGTGCCTGGGATCTGGACCAGACCAGGTCTCCACCCTCAGAGACCATCCTGGTGTGATGGACAGGCAGAGCAGCCCAGGACGGACACACAGGTGGAGGGACCTAGAGGAGGCTCCTAAGCTCGCCTGGAGGTGGGGGTCCCCAGAAAGGCTTCCTGGCAGCGGTGAGGCTGTGAGACGTCTTGTAGGAGGAGACTCTCCACACAGGCAGTAGTGGGACGGGCCTCCCAGAGCAGGACCTGTGTCACATCCTGAGGCCTGGGCGGTGCTCTGGCCCTGCGGAAGACCCAGAGAGGAGAGAAGCCCTGTCTCTGGGGATGGCCCAGGCGTCATGTTCCAGGATTTGCAGCACCCATCCTGCTCACAGTCAGCCCTGTCACCTACAGTGTCCCACACAGTCCTGTCCGCAGCCATTCAGGCCTCACCCTCACTTTCTCCTGCACCCTCTGCCCCGGCTACCCCAGGCGCCTCTGTGTCCCTCACAGCCGCTTTCCCACCCGCCATTCCTCTCAGTATTTACACCTCTCCTGTCACTTCCCACTGCCAGGGCATTACCCTGAGCACTGCCTTGCCCATCTCCCGCCTGCCCTCAGTGGGTGAGCACCCTGGAGACAGAGGCTTTGTCTTAGCTCGTTCATGGCAGCATCCCAGCCCCTCAGGCAGCCTGGGCACCTGTGATGCTCCTGACAAGCAGAGAGATCTGCTGACACCTGCAGGGACCTAGCCAACCTGGCCTGGCCTTGGCTGTCGGGGAACAAAGAGCGAGGAATGCATGCAAAAACAGCGAATATTGAAGACTGGCAAAACAGATCCAACTTATGGATAATAGGAGTCCTTGAAGAAGAAACCAAAGTAAGGGGATGCAGCAGTACCCCAAACCAACTCGCAAAACCACCCCTGGGAGAAGGAAGTGTGGAGCTACAAGTTGGGGGTAGCACAGTGAGTCTGTGAGGATATCAACCCAGAAATGCCAGCGTGAACACAGATCCCAGGCAAGCCTGAGGCGTGAGGTCTTCCAGAGAAAAATAGGTCCTCCAGCCCAGTGAGCAATGAGGTGCAAGGGATGGAAAGCATCTTCGAAATGATCTGTCTTAGGAATCACAGAGGCCAAGTTCATGTCCCTTGGCTTGCTTGCCAAACGGCCTCAACCGCTGGAGCTGGGCTGGGAGGAAACCAGGAAGCAGGGACTCAGTCCAGGTCTCCCAAGGGGAGGGTAGGAATCCAGCTTCTTGAACTGCCACCTACTAATCTCATTGAGCACAAACCAGGGAAGCTGGGGTAGGAGGCAGAGCAGGGACTCGAACCCCAGCACCCTGATAGGGGAATGTGGGTATCTCAACCAGTGTCTCACCTACTGGGCTTGGTACTCACCCCAGGGAAGCAGACCATCAGAACACCTGACACACTAGAAGGAAATGGAGGAATATTTCTTTTTTTTTTTTTAAGATGTATTTGTTTTAATTGTAAAGTCAGATATTCAAAAAGAGGAGGAGAGACAGAGAGGAAGATCTTCTGTCTGATGATTCACTCCCTAAGTGACCACAACGGCCAGTGCTGTGCCGATCCGAAGCCAAGAGCCAGGAAACTCCTCCAGGTCTCTCACGCTGGTGCAGCAGCCCAAGGCGTTGGGCCGTCCTCGACTGCTTTCCCAGGCCACAAGCATGGAGCTGGATGAGAAGTAGAGCTGCCAGGATTAGAACCGGTGCCCACATGGGATCCTGGCATGCTCAAGGCGAGGACTTTAGCTGCTAGGCCACTGTGCCGGGTCTGGAGGACTATTTCTAAGACACTAAAAAACAGCTTGTATACTCCCTTAAAAGGCCAAGGCCAGGGCCCAGCAGGGAGCCAGCACACACATGGGATGCCAGCATCGCACACATCCCAAGCAAAGGATCTTGTTTGCAGCAAGACTTTACCGATGGGGGCACAGACATGTCCTCAACAGGGAGACCCCAGACACTGTGGGTAGTTCTGGACCCTCCCTGAGGATCTGCTGGACTATGGTCTGTGGCCCCACAGGATACTGTCCCTGAGGGGCAGTGGTCACGTGTGGGGAGTGTGAGCCACCGTGAGCTCCCTCGTGGCTCCGTGCCCCTTCATGTCACGTACAATACAGGCCGAGCATCACTCATCGAAGGCCCCAAACTCTGAGCACCAACGGAACCACAAGTGCACACAGCCTCATGGCACCGTGACAAACACTGCATGTATACACCTGCAAGCTGCAGTGTGTGGAAGTGCAGACGAAGTCCACGTGAATGTTCACCGCGTTCACCAACTGCTCCACAAACCCAGCCCAAGCCCTTTTGCTCGTGGGTGCTGGTGTGTTACACAGATCCGCTCGCCCTCTCTCCACCCAAGAGGATCTCAAAACCGTAACCACAGGCACATCTGCCTAGAGAAGGCCTGGAAATGGCAGCCACGACTTGCTCAGAAATGGCTGAGTCTAGATGCAAAGCAGGAGGTGAACAAAGGCAGCCAGGACCATCTCATCACAGCAGGAAAGGCACGTGGGGCATGCCTCTGCTGGCCCTGAAGGGGGCGCTCCGAGCTCCAGCATGATATTAACTAATTTAATCTCAGCAGGCTTGCCTGAACCCAACCCATGCCTTCACAGTGGTGTTTTTATTTTTATTGGGAAGGCAGAATTATGGAGAGAAGGAGAGAAATATCTTCCATTTGCTGGTTCACTCCATGGCTACTACTGCTGAAGCTGAGCCAATCCGAAGCCAGGAGCCAGGACCTTCCACATGGGTGCAGGATCCCAAGACTTTGAGCCATCCTCCACTGCTTTCCCAGGCCACAAGCTGGGAGCTGGATGGGAAGTGGAGCAGCCAAGGCACAAACTGGTACCCATATAGGATGCTGGTGTTTGGAGGATTAGCTAGTTGAATATTGGCTGGCCCCTCACGGTGGTATTTTTGAAAGCATGAACAGGTGTCACATGAAACCCCTCCGCTGTAGCAGTGACCAGAATATATCTTCTTGTAGCTGTGGGAGCCTCAGGCAAAGTGTCAGCAGGGCTGAGTTCTCCAGTAAGGGGGAAAGGGGCTCTCAAGCTCTCCCCCAACTTCTGGTGGCTGCCTGTGGTCAGGGGGTCCTTGACGTGCAGCCAATCTCTGTCTCCAGCATCAAACCGCATTCCTTCTTCCTGTGCTGTTAGCTGGCACGGGCACTGGGGAACGCTCCTTTAAGTGAGAAGCCCTAGGGCAAAACAAGGAGTGATGACCCACAAGTCTGTGTGCAGTTCCAGAAAGTTCTGAGTGCTGCTGCTGGGCGGAGTAGATGCCTCAGGGAGGACCACAGGAACAACACCCCAGGGTTGTCACCTGCTGATGACCAGTCCATGTCTCTAAGGGAGGAGCTAATGCTTGCTGTGGACAGAGGCCCTGGGTCAGCCAAGTTCAGCTTCCTGCCTAGTATAGATTTCTTCACTCCTAAAGTCATGCCCTCAATTAGCCTCAGTTATAGTGGAAAAAAAGAACAAACAGCTTAAAAAGAGAAAGAACAAGTTCATGGCTACATCCTCAATGCTTGTGAGGGTGAAATGAGACAAAGCCTGAGTCAGCCCCAACACCTGGGGACTGTCCTTGGGCTCAGGGCTACACGTTTGTGCTGTAGTAGCTGCTGTGCATGACAGCCACACTCCTTGAGTCCTGGCAGAACCATCCTCCCCCAGGATGCCCACCCTCTCTCTGGGGCCCCCTCCCTCAGGATGTCCACGCTTGTTCTGGGGTCCCCCTCTCCCCCAGGATGTACACCCTCGCTCCAAGGCCCCTCTCCCCCAGGATGTCCATGCTTGCTCCTGGGGTCCCACCAAGGATGTCCATGCTCATTCCCAGGCCCCCTCCAGTACAGCCCTGGACTCTGTTTCATGAGCTCCCCAGCTGATATGGTGTGAATCCAGAGTGTGAGAACCCTTGGTATAGATGTGTTCACACATGGTAGAGGTAGGATGTATAGCCATGAACAGGGCCATTGTTCTGGTCTTGTGGACATAATCAAAATAGAAAAAAAAAATCTGTCCAGAAAGAGGAACATTTGGAACTACTTGGTGTTAAGTCAGTGCCAGAAAGTACAGTGCGTGCTGAGTACTTAGTGCTCTGCACAGAACAGCCTTCAGCACTCTGGACACGCGCGGGATGCCTGGGGCTCCCCACCCATCCGCTCTCAGGCTCCACACTGTCATTCTTATTTGCCCACTCACCTTAGGTGGAGACACTGACCACAGAGTTGTCAGCTGAACGCAGCTTCTCGGCCAAGGCTGAGAGTGCGCGGCAGCAGCTGGAGAGACAAATCCAGGAGCTCCGGGGACGGCTGGGTGAAGAGGACGCGGGGGCCCGGGCACGCCAGAAGATGGTGATCGCTGCCCTCGAATCCAAGCTGGCCCAGGCTGAAGAGCAGCTGGAGCAGGAGAGCAGGTGAGTGGGGAAGCTGAGGCCCAAGAGAGGGCAGCTGTGTGACAGGCACCTGGCTTGCTGTTATCCAAGAGGCACCATTATATTAATGTTGATTTCCTGTATCATTTAGGGTGTTTTAGGATGCAAGGAGCTCTAGTGCTGGGGAGAGTAAGGTAACCTCGTAGCATTCATCAATAACCTAATAACAAGCCACACTGGAACTTAGGAATTGATGCCAACAGCCAACAGCTCAGGAGTCTTTAGGCCAGCGGGTGGGTTCTGCCACTGTGGGCTCAAGGTGGGGGGGGCTCACTTGCACATCATCTTCACGCAGCTCTGAGGGTCACTTGCTAGTGTTGGCTGAGTTTAGCTTGTCTAAGGCCAATAGGCCAGCTGGTGTGTGCTCCAGTGACCGCTCATGCTCTGGCAGGTTGGGCCAGCTCAGCAGTTGAGGTTCTCAGAGCACAGGAGAGGGCTACAGGCTCTTAACAGTCTGGATCTGGAGATAGGAAAGAGGCAAGAGGCCAGGCCAAGCACAGGACAGCCACTGGACCTGCCTGAGTACCTCCTCCCCTCAACCCCTGCCTGCAGGGAGCGCATCCTGTCAGGGAAGCTGGTGCGCAGGGCCGAGAAGCGGCTCAAGGAAGTGGTTCTGCAGGTGGAGGAGGAGAGGAGGGTGGCTGACCAGCTCCGGGACCAGGTAAGCAATTGGCATCACCGGGGAATGGGAAGAAGGGGATGGACACTGATTGGGGTGCAGCATGGGCCCTCCCATCCTAACGAGTAATGTGCAGCTGCTGCTGGACAGCTCCTTGGAAAGGTTCCTCTTGGGACCTGGAGCCTCAGCACAGGTCTAAAGGGCATGATCTGCTGTCCATGGAGTCTGAAGGGAGCTGAGGCAGCCCTGGTGAGCATAGAAGCTGAGCCATACCCAAAAATGAGAGCAGAATGAAAGCATCAGTCATATCTGCTAGTGATTTGTGTGTGCGAGGCACTGCTATAGTTATAACATGGGGTCTAGTTTAGCTCTTATCAGCAACTGTGGGATGAGGATTATGATCTCCTTCTTATTCAGGTGAGGAAACTGAGGCACAACACATGGTGCCACCCACTCAGGGTTCCCTAGTAAGGAGGAAGTGGGTCTCCAACCTTAGCACCCTGGCCCCAGTATCTGTGAGTTCAAAGATTTGAGTGGTGACTGTCCTGAGCATGACAATGGCTGCTGTCAAAATACTTACATTTCCTAGCAGGAAACCTTAAGAAAGGGTATCATGTACAAGCTCAGTGTCCGTAGATGATAGGACCTGAATCAAATCCCAGGTCAGCGTCCCCGTGCCCTTAAAAGCTCAGCTGTGCTTCTAAACTGTCATCCCTCACTCGACACCTGCTGCAGGCCAGGTTCTGAGGGTGGAGGGGAGCATTTAAAGAGAGGGAGACACAGGAAGAGGGTATCTGTGATGGGATCTTGAACTGACACCTGCAGGATGAGGAGGACCAGGCTGAGGGGACAGCAGTAATCAAGATGAGTTCAGGGCCAAGAGGAGCATGGACTGACCAGCTGAGTGACTGCTCATGAGGTCCAGAGATGTGCTTCCTTGCTTCGTTCTACAAGAGAGACAGCAAGAGCTGGAGAGCATCTTGGTGATGCTGGTCTGCTCAGTGTTTGTGGAAAGAATAAGACCCTTCAGGGCTTGGGGTGGCAGGAAGAGGGACTCAGGCCATGGGAGATGATTACCTGTGAACATAAAAAGACCCCTCTAAAGCTGTGTGAGACACAGCCTGGAGGGGAAAGACAGGTCAGGGTGGAGGCCAACCTGAGGTGGGGGGAGGGGAATGCCCAACAGAGAATGGAGATGGGACAGAGACTGGCAGGAGACAGGAGGAGTGGGGCCAGGGGAAGGGCAGCATGGGGAGTCACCCCTGTTTCTTCCTCCTGCCAAGCTGGAGAAAGGCAACCTTCGAGTGAAGCAGCTGAAGCGGCAGCTGGAGGAAGCCGAGGAGGAGGCATCCCGGGCCCACGCTGGCCGCCGGAGGTTGCAGCGAGAACTGGAGGACGTCACAGAGTCGGCTGAGTCCATGAACCGCGAGGTTACCACGCTGAGGAACCGGCTGCGGTACGGCAGACACACACATGCCCTGATCCGAAATGCTGGGGACTCCAGGGGCAGCAGGAGGGGACCCATGGTGGCATGGTGACTTCTCTCTCTCCACTCTTACTTCTGGCTCTCTGTGCCCTCCATCCTCACTCTATCCACTATGCCCTCTGCCCCCACAGGTCATGTTTACCTCCCTTTATCATGTCCGCCTCTCCTTGGCTCCTTGGCTCTTTGGCCCATGTCCTCTCTGTCTTCCCTCCCCACACATCACGTCATGTTTGCCTCCCCCCACCCCTCTTCCAACATAACACCCTTGTGTCTCTCCTCCCCACAGGCGCGGCCCCCTCACCTTCACCACCCGCACAGTGCGCCAGGTCTTTCGGCTGGAGGAGGGTGTGGTATCTGACGAGGAGGCTGAGGAAGCTGAGCCGGGGTCTGGGCAGCCGGGCCCAGAGTCTGAGGGGCCCTCACCAGCCCAGCCCCAGTGACCCAGCTGCACTGAAGGACAGGTCTGACCCCTCTCTTGAGCCCCTTCCCACCCCACCTGGCCCTGGACCTGCACTTTGGCATTTGTCCACTCAACCTGAGGCCTTCAATGACCCCCAAACTGAGGAGAGGGGCCTCCAAGAGGCAAGGACCGGGCTCGCTCTCTCAAGGGGAAGTTGAGGGTCCCATGTGCATCCCACCCTGCCTTCAGGTGTTAAGGAGGGCAGTCAGGTACTCCCTGCCCTCCAGGCCTGGGGCTTCCCCTTCCTCAGCCTCCCTCTCCCCTTGCCCTACTTCCTGGCTGCTGCTCGACGGCTGGTAGAGGCACCTCTTGGCTCTGGCAGAAATAAACCTCAGCCCAGTCTCCACCCTTGGCTCCCCCTGTGTGTGTGTTCCTGGGTGGGGGGTCTCTCATCCCAGCTACAATAGTGCAGGGGTGGAGAAGGGGGTGCATTCCCTCCTCCTCAGGACACAGAGGGGGAGATGGAGGAGCCAAACAGCAGTGGCCCTCCGAGCCCATGGGTGCTTGCAGCGGGTGTGCCCCCTCCTGAGCCCACGGGTGCTGCAGCTTGGCCCTGGCCAGCAATCCTGGATGCTGCGACGTGGACCGGTCCAATCGCCTGCCTGTGCCCAGTGGGCTGAGTCAGGCACTGCCCTGCTGCCATGGAAGGTATGGAAACAGGCTCGGCGAGGCTGTGCCACTAGCTCTAGGGCACACAGCTAGATCAGCGTCCACTCTGGGGCCTAGGTCCCCCCACATCTCCCGTCCCCCAGGGCACTGAACCACCCTGCTCCCGAGCCTCCCCTCATCAGACCTATTCCTCAGCTGTTGATTCTCCCACCAGGGAAACTGAGGCACTTGCTCCCCACATCCAGCCCACCTGCACTCCTTAGAGAGACCTTCTTAGCAGTCAAGAACCAGCCACTTGTAAATGAAAAGGAAACTTTTATTTTGGAGAAGGTTGACTGGATGGGTGGGACAGGGACATGACACTTGTTCTTGGGGGGAGGTGGGGTGACATGCGGCAGCTTTTGCATTGGGCGGTTCATGCACCCAGGGTGGGCGTGGGGGAGGCTGGGGGAGGGGCCCTGCGGGTGGGCCGAGAAGACCCGCCTGTTAGCACCAGAGGGGGACGATTCGCAGACCTCCCCTTCCCCACAGACTCCAGACCCCGCCCCCATCCCTGAGAGCGCCCCTTTTGCCGCCCCCACCCGCCCCCACGCCCTCCACAGGCCAGGCCCGCCCCGCCCACATTGGAGTGAGAGAAACTTATTGCTGTGTGGGTTGGGGAGGGGAGCCGCCGAGCTCAGGAAGAGCCCCCCACACCGCTCCGCTCCTCCCTCCCCGACCGGCCCGCCCCCTGCCCCGTGTCCGTGCGTTCCCGGAGCGCAGGAGGCGCGCGGCATGCGTGTGGGGGCGCAGCATGCAGCGCATGCGTGTGGTTGCAGGCACCCTGGCGGCCGGGGCGAAGAGGGGGAGCGGGACTCGGGTTGCGGGGGGCAGGCCCCTTAGTTCGCTCTCCCCCTCCCCGCAGCCCACACTGGTGGTTGACTGAAGGATGTGGGAGGGGTCAGGGATCACGTTGTGGTGGACATTTATGACCGTGGTTACTTTTTAAAAGCTGAACTAAAAAGCTGGGGGTTGGCGAGCGGTTGAGGGGAGACACTGGGAAGAGGTCAGTATCCTTTGGGAAAGACCCTCACCCCTTTCCCTGCCCCCTCTGGCTTTCCTGAGGGCCAGGGGAAACTGGGGCGTTGAAAGAAGTTGAACCCTTTGGCAAAATAATCAGTACCCCTCCCCCCATACCCTGGAATCTGGAGCCCCTAGCCCTTTGCCCTGCCCCCGCCAGAACTCACCCCACCCCTCACCCCTGATTCACCAGGGTTTAGGGACTGGGGGAAGGTTGGGGAGGGACTCAAAATGCCCCTTGCATAGGAATCGTTGCAACAAGAATCTGCCCAGTGACGCCCCCTGCCCCGGCCCGCCCTGGGGGGAAGGAGTTCCTGAGACCGTGGGAGCAGAGGGGAGGGTGTCCATTCCATGGCTCCCGCTCCGCATATCTCTAAGGAGGGAGGAGGGTCCGCTAAGGATGCGGACCGGTGTGGCCTCTGGGCCTGGGGGAGGTAGCGCATCCTGGAGCCTGGATGGGAGGTGAGAGAGGGATCCAGGCCCGCGCACTAGGGGGGGGGGGGGGGGGGCCTCCCGGCCTCAGGGTCCCTCCACGTGGAGCTTATGGAACCGCGTCCTGTCTCTACCCGGCAGCCCCACGGGCTGATGTGCAAAACACACAGGAAATATGTGTTGTGTCCTTGGATGGCCTGAACTCGGCGCACACCGTGGGGAGTGGCTCGGACACTGCCCTCTGGGAAGCAGCTATCCGCAGCGGGGCTGCCTTTTGGGCACCGTCTAAGAGAGGGGGGCTTTGGCTGGGCGGGGTGGAGGGCCAGGCTGGGGAAGGCTGGTTTCCCTGGAGTTGTAGACAGCTCCCCAGAGCCTTTGGTCAAGGGCTAGCGTCAGCGGACCCCGCGAGAGGCAGGGCTGGGAAGGAGGCTGGAGCATCCCAAAGGCTGGAACTGAGCTCAGAGCTGGGTCAAGTCTTGGAGGTTTAAGTGCTGGGAAGCAGTCCAGGGAAAAGGGGGCGGGCAGGGCAGCAGAGGGGAAGTCCCAGGCTGGTGTGTGGGAGGCAGATTTGAGGGGTGTGGAGTGCCAGGATCAGTGTAAAAGGATCTGGGTGCAGCTCTCCAGTCCTGGGAATGGGATTGGGGCCGTGGGAAGGTGGGGTGGATCGTGTGCTGGGGACAAGATCATCTTGGAACTCTGGGGGTGTGGGGCGCAACTGGGTCCCAGCAGCAGGAACCGAGGCGAGCAGATCCCTGGTGGGGGTGGGGGCAGAGGCTGGGAGCAGCTGTCACAGCCACGTGGCTGCCTCCCTCAGGCTCAGCCCTGAGCAGGCAGCTTTACTGGGGCCAGGCTAGCTCCCCTGCAACTCCACGAGGTGAGGGCGCCCACTTCCCCAGCCCAGGAAGCCGGGAGCCCCTCCGGAGGTCTCACAGCGCTCGGCTCCAAGCCCCCTTCCCTCCAACTCGCGCTTGCAGCCGCTGGCGGCACCTTATTGCTGAGGTGGAGCCGAGGAGGGTGGGGTGGGGAGGGGAAGGGCATGCAGAATAGTGGAGGTTTCTCAAGATGTAATTGGCATAATTTGGCCTTATTTACACAAGTGGATGGGAGGGATCATATGGCTGTGGAGACCTGAGAAGGCTTTTTTTGGAAGGGAGGGGGAGTTGGGGGATGGGATTTGGTTCCTCCCCGTTCATCCTGGAAGGGCCGAAGGGGGGAGGAGGGAGGGGCCCAGGGGTGTCTGCTGGCGTCTTCATTTCCATTGCATATTATTAATGACTTTTGATTTTTTTTTTTAAAAAACCCTTTCCCCCACCCCCCACCCCCAGCTCCTTGGACCTTCTTCCCAGTCACCCCCGAGTCCCCCCACAGGGGGGAGGGGAGCACTAAAGGATGGAGGGCAGGGTTGGAGGAGCGCGGCGGGCAGCCCGGGGAGAGCCAGGGGGGGTGGCCAGGGGCGCGAGGCGCAGGGACACCCCGCTGAGGCCCGCGATGCTGCTCAGACTGCGGGACTTCTCGTAACCTGGGGAGGGACAGAGAACGGGAGGAGCATGGAGGGAGGACGGGTGGGGATGGGGCCGAGGCGGAGAGACCCCAAGACATGGGAGGGGAGACAGATGGGGGAGGAAAGGGGGCAAGGACAGCCCGAGAGACCAGGAGGGAGGCAGATGGAGCCGGGTGGACGGCGAGGGCAGAGACGGAGAGAAGGGAACAGAGGGCAGTCAGTCTACACCACAGCACGGTCCAAACACGGGGAGGGGAGACTCAGGGTTAGGAGGCGCCCACCGAGCCTCCCCCCACCCCCTGGGGGCCCTTCCCGCTCCACCTCTCTTCCCCCCACCCCACCCCATTGGTCCTCTTCTCAGAAGGTGAAGGTGGGCAGCGAGGCGGGATGGTGGGCGGCAGGGCCGGCACGATGCATGTAGGGGAGCAGCCGTGGAGCGGGTGGGTGGGGCGCAGGGCTGGGGCGAACCTGGCAGCGGCCAGAGATCTGGGGTGGGGGTGACGGAGCTGAAGGGAGCAGAAGCTGGCGGCGGTGGTCTTGGGGAGGCAGATGAGACTCCGTGGAAAGTGGGAGGGGCAAGACAGACTGTGGGCAGGTGCTGGCAAGTGTGTGGGGACGGGGCAGGGGCTTCGGCTCCGCCGGTGCCTGGGGGAGCGCAGAGCGCTGTGGAGGAGGGGGTCCTGCCCCTGAGAGAGGGGAGCTGTAACGCGTATCCTGGAAAGCCCTCCCATCCCAGCCATTCCCAATTGCTAACCTGGGGGGAAGGGGCAGGGGGGACCGAGGGTCTCCCGAGATCTCAGGCGGTGACAAGAGCTGGGGACAGAAATACACAGAGTCAAGGCGAGGGCAGGATGGTCGGGGGGACCCCCCAACAGCCTCCTGGTTGGGGGGATGGAGGGACGCTGATCTCCACGATGGTGTTCTCCAGGGTGAAAGGGAGCGATGAAATGGGGGCGGTCAGAGAGACATCAAATATGGAAGGAGCTTCCGGGTGGCTGGAGGGGTTGGGGGTCGGGGTCAGGGCTGAGGACAGGGGGGTACTGGGGAGGGCACGGACTGGGAGTAGGGTGGGTAGTTAAGGGAGGGGGCAAAAGGACACGGGAGGGGGGGCAGGGTGCAGGACCCGGAGCGCAGGTGCAGCCAGCCCCATCGGCTCCAGCCATCATTTGAGTTCAATGAAAGGGTTTTGGCACTGGAGGCAAGAGAAGCAGGGACCTTCTTTGGTGGCCCCCCCACTCCCACTGCTCCCACACCCCACAAGTCTCCCCTGCCACCTCTCCCCATCATCTCCCCACTCCCTCCCATGAGGGTCCCTCCAGACTCAGGAACTGGAACAAAGGGTGGGTAGGGGGTGCAGGCAGGGAGGGGTTGCTGGGAGGAGCTGGGGGAAGGTGGTGAGATGAGAATGGAAGGTGATGATGGTGGAGGAAGAGGTGCAGAAAAGAGAGGGGAGGGGACCAGGAGCCAGACAGGCCCCTGTGGACCTGGAGCTGGAGCCAGTGCCTTGTCCTGTCTGCTCTGTGACCTGGGGCTGTACATAGATGGTTGTCTGAACTTATGGGAAACATGGGAACTGCTGTGGGGCTGTCCTGGGGGCTCCTTACGGACCCCCCACCTCCACCCTGTGGCAGGAAATCTCTAGGCCCTTTGGGTGTTTGTTGAATGAGTAAGTGATGGTTCAAGATCATTGCTAAGATGGAATGTAGCCTCACCGTGACCCCCAAACCCCATGCTTTCCTCCCAGACTGTCAGCCACAGGAAGTCAACCCACAGCAGCACCCAGGGCCCTGGGCTCGCCCTTCCTCCGCCGACAGAGGCCTCCACAGCTCCCCGCTGTAAAGTGGCCAGAGCTCTCTCACTCTTTTCTTTTTCTCAGTTGTTGATGTTCTACTTCCCGTCAGGGGTCAGCAAACTCTATCAAGGGCTGGCTGGTCAGTGTCTGGCCGGTGGCTGTGTTCCAATAAAGCTTTATTGACAAAAGCTTTTAGCCCATTAGCAAGGCAGGTTTCTTGCCTGGTTGGCTGCCAGTTCTCTCCAGTGCAAGCGTCCTCAAGAACATTGAACAAACAAATGCCAGGAAAAGAGCTGGGGTGACCTCTGCTTGCTGGCTCACCCTGAGCTCACCTTCTTGCCTGTCCCCTTTGCCCCTTGGCCCCCCAGCTCTCCCTGCCTTGCTCCTTCCTCTCTGGGCCCAGCTCAAGCCACATCCTCTTCCCCTGGACCCTCTGCCTCCTGATCCGCTCTTCCTCCTCCTCCCCCTCCTCCTCCAGTCTGTGCCTCAGGCCTCCCCATCACCATCTGCACAGAGAGCCTCCCTACTGGGGCCAGAGTCCCAGGGGCTGGGGGAAGTTGAGGAGCAAGGGGGCACTTTTCTCACCCCCATCAGCACAGATCTCCAGGGTCTGCCAACTCCAGCCCACGGGGGCTCCCTGAGCACAGCAACTAACAGGGACCACCTAGGCATGTATCCCCTTTCCTGATTGAACTAACAAGTCCAAGATGGAGGCAGGGAAAGCAATGCTGATGGAGATGAGGATGGGGCTCAGTTGTGAGGGCAGGGTCGGAGGTCAGGTGCTGAGTGTGCAGGGAGGGGTGAGGTTAGTTCTGGGGGGTTAAGTGGGGTTAAGTGAGGGGTGTGCTGAGTCTTGGGGTGGGCAGGCAGGTGGGGGTCAGTGTCAGGGGCTGGGGGTAAATGGGGTGCAGCTGTTCAAGGTGAGGGGTGGGAGTCTCAGTCAGTGGGGGTCTGCATGGTCTCAGAGGGGTTAGTCAGGAGGGAGGGGTTAGTCAGGGGATGGGTGGGGGGCTACTTACCCCGGGGGAAAGGGGTTCGTCCACTAGGGGGATATCCAGGCCGCGGCGTTGGCGTTGAGGTCGGGCAAGAAGCTTGGGGGGCCTGGCTTACGCCAGTCTAGGGGGGTCATTGGGGCAGCACCAGTGGCTGGGGGTAGGGGAAGAGGCCAGAGAGTCCAGGGGGCAGGGCGGGAGGTGGGGAAATGAAGATGGAATAAAGACAGGTGAGGGTCTGTGTGAGGGACTAAGGGCAGGGGTGGGAGGCTGGGAGGAAGGTGGGGAGGGAAGCCCAATGCCACCCCCATCACCCCTCCTCCCTCCCCTGGGAGAAGGGGAGGACGCAGGGACCCCATGGGGGGTCACCTCACCTTTCCGGATGGAGCCGTCAGGGGAAGGGGCGTAGTCGGTGAGTAGGAAGCAGGCTCGGTCGCGGCTGTAGCGGCCCCGGCTTCCAGGTGTGATGGGGCTCTTGTCCTCTGGAGACATGGCGGGCTGATCGATAGCGGGGCAGTCCTCGTGGGCCAGCGCAGCTGCTGCTGGGTCCCCATTGGGGCGAGGATCTGTGCCAGAGACAAAAGGGGAGAGTGGAGGGCTGGGAGAGGATGGTCCCAGAGGAGCCCAAGAACTGCAGGTAGGCACTTCCCAAGGTGGGCACTTACAGGGGCACCTGGTGGGTTAGGGGTGGTCAGCGAAGGGTGCAGGGGGCTAGGGGTGCCAGCTTGTTGTTTTGGGGCCCTGCACTGAGCTGACTGGGGAATATGTGACAGGGACAGGCCTGGCAGCTGCCAGGGGAGGACATGGTGGGGAAGGGCTGGGAAGGTGACGGGAGGGAGGGGGAGGCGGGGGTCCCCCAGGCTCTGACTTGAGCTATTTTTAATGGGTGTGAAACTGGGTCGGTGGCTGAGGGAACGAAATGGGGGCCGGGTGGCCAAGCTCCCTTTATTGACCTACTTAAGGCCTGCTGGGAGGGGGGAAGTGGGGTACACACCAGCCTTTCCCTCCTCCCGGACACCTACATGGGTGCTGCCAGCTCCTTCCCAACACCAGACACCCCCAGCTCACTATGGGCCCCCCAACCCTGTGTCTTTGATCTCAGCTGCCAAAACCCCTCCTCTGCCGGAACCACCACTCTGTCCAAGTTCTCCTGGCTCTGGGGGACTATTTGTATTCCAGCCTCAGCCTGCCACGGCCAGGGGTGCTCAACCTCTGTCTCTGTGGGGGAGTCCCTCTCCTTGCACACCCCCTCCCCCTGGTCCACAGGTCCTGCCTGTGGTCAGCACAGCTGTCTGCTCTCTGGCCCTGGCTCCAGCTCTTCCCTTCTCTTCCCTATCTTGCGGACCATGGGGACTCCTTCTTGCCCACAGCCCCACCATGCCTCTCCTCCTCTTCTTGCTTGCTCCACCTGCTCACCCTCGCCCAAACCTCTCCCACCACCAGCCCTCACTCCACCTCACCTGCCCGGTTGATCTCAATGACTTCTTCCTGAGCCAGTGGGCAGGGCTCGCCAGGGGCGGACAGAGGAGGCAGCCCCATGATCCCCAGCCCACCCGCTCCCCCCCTGAGCAGCCCAGGGTGCGTGTGGGGCCCCGGTGGGTAGGCCCCAGCCACAGTCACCCCCACAGAGGGTGGGGTGATGGGTGGTGGCGGGCTGATGCCACCGCTGCTGCCGTGGTGCGGGTGGGGCGGGGGTGGTGGGGGCGGCTCGGGCTTGCAGTAGTTGGGTGAGCCGGGCTGCGGGGGCCGGGGGATGTGTTTGTTCTTCTTCTTGGGCAGCTTCTGCTTGGCCATGGCCAATGAGTAGTACATGCCGAAGTTGTTGACAATGACGGGCACGGGCATGGCGATGGTCAGCACCCCAGCCAAGGCACACAGTGCCCCGACCAGCATCCCTGACCAGGTCTTGGGGTACATGTCTCCGTAGCCCAGGGTGGTCATGGTGACCACAGCCCACCAGAAGCCGATGGGGATGTTCTTGAAGTAGGTGTGGTTGGAGCCCAGGATGTCATCAGGGTCGGCGCCGATGCGCTCGGCGTAGTATATCATGGTGGCGAAGATGAGCACGCCCAGGGCCAGGAAGATGATGAGCAGTAGGAACTCGTTGGTGCTGGCCCGCAGCGTATGGCCCAGCACACGCAGGCCCACAAAGTGGCGCGTGAGCTTGAAGATGCGTAGAATGCGCACGAAGCGCACGACGCGCAGGAAGCCCAGCACGTCCTTGGCGGCCTTGGATGAGAGGCCGCTGAGCCCGACCTCCAGGTAGAAGGGCAGGATGGCCACGCAGTCGATGATGTTGAGGCTGCTCTTGAGGAACTCCACCTTGTCCGGGCAGAAGGTGATACGCATGAGGAACTCGAAGGTGAACCACACTACGCACACGCCCTCCACGTACGTCAGGAAGGGCTCCGTCTCCACCTCCACGTTGGTAATGTTCTCCGGTGGGGCCCCCGGGATCGGCGAGGCCTGGGTCACCGTCTTGTTGCTGATGTGGATGAAGCCCTCGTGGGTCTCCAGGCAGAAGGTGGTGATGGAGATGAGGATGAAGAAGAGCGAGGCGAAGGCCACATACTGCAGGGCGGGAGGCAGGAGGGGAGAGGTGATCGGGCAGCAGCAGCTGCAGGCTGACCCTGCCGGCTCCCCCCAGCCCAGCCAGCTAGCCAGCCTTCCGAGCCTGTGGCTCCATTCCCTGCAGCGCCCAACTGACTCCTCTGAAACTAACAACAGGGGACAGGAAGGAACAGCAGTGGGAGGGGAGCTGGCCCTGCATGCAGAGCAGATGGCCAGAACCTTTCGTGGGAACAGCCTTGCTGGCCCCTGGCTCTGTCGCCCAGATCACCTCCCCCACCCTCCTGTTCTGAGTCTCCTGCAGGTCCACGGGCCCTGCAGAGGGACGGGGAAAGGGGGCCAAGCTCTCACACCCCCTTCCCCCAACCACCTCCAGTGTTGCAGCTTGGAGCTGTGGAAAAGGGAACGGGAGGAGGTGGGAGAGGACTTCGAGAGTCAGAGCGCCCGCATTTTGGGGTCTGGCTGGCTTTTAACCTGCCAAGTGCAGGCTGGGAGATGACGCTTTCCAAGCCCCTTATACCCATGGGGGTTTTCGAGAGGGTTTGGTGTAGGTGAGTGTAGAAGGAGTTTGGCTTTCAAGGCAGTGCCTGGCCCAGGGCCTGGAACACAGGAAGCTCTGAGCTGTGAGGGTACACAGGCCCCCATTAGCCAGTGAGCCAGGGTTGGCCTCGGGGTCCACCCAGGGGTTAAGGACTTTGGTGCTAATATCCAAGCTGGGGAAAAGGGTAGAGCTGGGTAACGGCCTCACTTAGAGAGGACAGGGCAGGGTGGAACCCCAGGAGAGTGGGTCGTTAAAGAGAAGGCTGCTGCAGGGGAAGTGGCAGGGAAAGGCAGACACCAGGGCCAGAGGGGTGAGGGAGCTGGAAGTGGGGTACCAGGGTTGGCCCCCGTCGTGTGGGGTGCTGATGGAAGCCTGGAAGAGGAGTGGGTGTGCTCAGGTCTTAGGGAGAAAAAGCAATGGGTGAAGCTTGGATTGTCAGCCACGGGTGGGTTGGTGTGTGCTAAAGGGGCAGGCGTTGGGGTGAAGAGAGGACCCCAGTAGGGAGGGTGGGCATGGGAGCTTGATTTAACCCGAAGCATAAAACAGAGGGCAGCCTGGCTCAGGCCGCAAGCGGAACCCTGGAGTGGGCCGGGGGTCCATGCTGGTCCTCTCTGCCCACTGCCCGCCTCCCCTGGATTCTCCGCAGTGGTTTCAGAGGCCAGAGGCCGCCGCAGAGCGCATGCCCCGTGCTTCCCCGCCCCCTCCAAGGCTGCGGCACCGCAGTGGGGGCGGGCCGGCCGGCCGGGGGGCGGGGCGCACAGCGGCCAGCACCATGGACAGCTCCCCCGCCGCAGTGCGCAGCCGCAGCGGCCGGCAGCCGCCTTAACCCCTTCCGGGCTCGACCCGGCGGGAGGCCACGCACCAGGAGTTTCACATGAACTCCTTGCCCTCAGGACGAGGCGGGGACGATAGGCACCCACCGCAGTGCACAGCTGCACAGCTGCCTCAGTCTCTTACCCCATGGGGGCTGAAGAGCAGAAGGGTTAGGGAGGCAGAGCGAGGCGAGTAGAGCTGGACTCTCCCAGCTCCCAACTCTGGGTTCTGCCTGGAGGTTAGCAAGTGCTGAGCGCGCCTTGCAGACTCAAAAATCAAGTGTAGAGTGACCTCGGTGTACGTCCCAGACCCCTAGCCCGCGCAGCCAGGACTCTCCCTCCTCCTCCTCACTCAGCACCCTTCAGTGGGGTCACGGAGCGAAGGGCGCCCAGGCGGGGGGCGGGGAGGAGGGAGGCGCTCAGAAGCCCGAGGGGCATCTAGGGCCACGTCGCTCGCGCACATCTCCCTCCCCCACCCGACCCCAATTCTCGCCAAGTCAGCGCTTCTCAGGGACCAAACTTTACGCGTTGCCTCCGGCCCCCCCTCGCTCCCTCCCCCCGACGCGAATGCGGCACTGCGGCTCCGTGCGTCCTTCCCGGGGCCAGGACGCGCACTACGGGGGGGAGGGGGCCCCGCCGGGCTCCTGGGGTGACTGGGCCCTCGGAGGGCTCCTCCCCCTCCAGCGGGTCCTGAACTGCACCACCCCCTCACAACATCTCCCTCAGGGGTCTCCAGGGACATCTCTAACGGGGAAGTTAGAGATGTTTAGGGAAAAGTTTTCTGGGAGAGACAGAAGTCCAGGGAAACTCTGGGGTTGGGACGGGGCTGCGGGTGGAGGGGAGAAAAGGTTGGGGTGGGAGCTCTTGGGTTTGGTGGAGGAGAGGGTGAGGGGGCCCAGTCCTGGGGGGCGTCTAAGGGAGGGAGGGAGGCAGTGCAGCAGTAGCCAAGGGAAGAAGGCCTTGGAAGCTAATTTCAGAAGAAAGTTTTGGGACAGATGGCTTGGGGCGGGAGGGGCCAAGGCCTGAGGGTGCACTGGGGAGGGGGCAGCAGAGGGGAAGTCACTTCAGGGACCAGGAAAGGAGCTGGAGGGCTGAGGGAGGGCGGGGGGAGGGAGACTAGCTGGAACTGGGTCTTGCTGAGACACAGCGGCTCCTCTGGGGAACTCGGGTGGGAACACGGAGGTGGGTGGGGGGACACCCTGAAACTCAGTGCTGTGGGGTTCCTGGCTAAAGTAAGTGGTTTGGACATTCCCCTGGGGGGGTCTCGGAGACTGGGGGTGAACAGAAAGAGGACGGGACTCAAAAATTGCCAGGGGACCCCAAACTTAGTGAGGAGGAGGCCCAGAAAGGTGCTGGAAGAACCTGGGGGCAGAAGAGGGGGCTGCAGGAGTGGGGACAAGTGTTCAGAAGCCCCGGGGCACTTTGGGGTCTAGGAAAGGTTTTCTGGGGTGTGTGTGTTGGCGGAGTGGAGTCTGGGAAAGGTTTGAGGTGCCAGGAAGGAAGTTTCTGCCTAGCGAAGCGGGTTGGGGATGGTGGGGACCCCGGGTAGGTTCCGGAGGGCAGGGGTGCGTCTGGCGGACCCGGAGCGGGGAGGGGGCGTGTTCCGAGGAGGTGTGTGAGCTCAGGGTGGGGTCAGCGTGCGGGGGGCTCACCCTGGCAGCCCGCGACGAGTAGGGGTCCTCGAAGAGCGCCCACACGCGCGGCTGCCAGCGGCGCCACCACGTGCCGCCCGCGCCGCCCGCGCCCCCCGGCGGGCCCCCGGCGCCGCCGCCCGCGTCCTGGAAGCAGAGGCGCTTGAGCTCGCCGCCCGCGCCGTCCAGGCCGCCGCCGCCCGCGCCCGCCTCGTCGTCCAGGCCCGCGTCGTGGGCGCCGCCCGCGTTGGCGGCCCCGGCGGCGCCCGAGGGGTCGGGCGCTTCGAAGGAGTCGAGCGCCTCCTCGGCGTCGCGGTGCTGCCGGTAGGTCATCCAGCAGCAGGCCTCCACGTCCGTCTCGTCGATGCCCCAGAAGCCCAGCTCCTCCTCGAAGAGCGGCCCGCACACGTCGGCCGGGCAGTGCAGCTTGCCGGTGCGGTAGTAGTTGAGCACGTAGGCGAAGACGCCCGGGTGCCGGTCGAAGAAGAACTCGTCGGCTCCCGGGTCGTAATCGAAGCGGGCCGCCGCTTCGGGCTCCGTGAGGCCGGCCAGCCGCGTCCCCGGGAGGGTGCGCAGCGTCGAGCGGTACGTCTCATGGCGCACGCCGCCCACGTTGATCACGATCTTGCCGCTGTCGCCACCGCCGCCGCCGTGCCGCCCCATGGCCGCCGCCGGCAGCCCGGGGCATGGCTCGGCGCGCCGGCCCCCGGGCCCGCGGGGTGGCGGGGGGCCCGCCGGGGACGCGGCGGGGCCGGGCTGCGCAGGCTGCGGCGGCGGCGGCGGAGCGGGCGGCGGAGGAGGCGCGGGCAGCGGCGGCGGGGACTCGGGCGGCTGCGGCGCCGGCTGCTGCTTGCTGGCCCCCTGGCGCCCGCGGAAGGACGAGACGCAGACTGAGCTCAGCATTGGACGGGGGGCGGGGCTGCGGGGCGGGGCCTCGAGGGGGCGTGCCGCAGGGCAGACGCGGACGGGATTGGGTGGGAGGAGGGGGGCGTGCCCGTCGAGGGCAGAGTCAGACACGATTGGGCGGGGAGGAGCGGAGGGGAGGGAGAGGAGGTGGAGCCCTGCTGGGGGAGGGAGTGAGAGAGGAGCGTCTCTGATTGGCTGGGGGAAGTGGGCGGGGCTCAGGCGCGCTGATTGGAGACGGCACGGTGGAGGGGCGGAGAGTCAGGGGGCGGCTCCGGTACCGGTTATTTAAAAGGCCCGGACTGGCCCGGAGGGGCGGGGCCCCATTGGGAAGGGCTGCTCTGATTGGGGGGAGAAGGGACGGAGGCAGGGCGAACCAACTAACGCTTGCACGCGCAGACCTGCCCATCAGTGGGCGGGGCTACACGGGGAGGGTCGCCTATCAGGGGCGGGGGGCGGGGCCTGGACTGTGGTCGCCGTCCTGATTGGGCTGCGGGACAGGGGGCGGGGCTGAGGCGAGCGCGGGAACGTTTCCCTGGACTTCAGGAGCCGTTTGAGGGGAGCGGAGATGGAGACTCGGTAGGGCGGCAGCGAGGCCGGGAAGCCCGAGTACGGCGAGGCTGCCAGCTACAGTCGGGTAAACGGGGCTGAGCTGGGAGGATGAGCGTGCGGACGGACGGGGTGGGACTCGGGGGAGTGGACAGCGCTTGGATGGGCTGTGGGAAGGCCAGGCGCAGCCGGGGGCTCTGCCGCAGCGGGGCGGGCTGAGGTCGCCAGGCGCCAAGGGACTTGCTGAGGAGCACGAAGCTCCCGAGTGGAACAGAGAGGAGAGGGATTCTAGGACGTCGGAGAACCGGGGCGAGGACCCTGACTGACGGCCAGCGAGCCCTAAAACGTGCCAGACAGGAGCTTCCAAACGGTGCGGAGGAGGAAGCCTAGACGCCGGCCGGCTGCTGAAGCGCAGGGATGAGGAGGGGGCGTGAACTGCGTGATGGGAGAGGGCGGAGGGCACGAGACTCGGAGGCACCGGGCCGGGGAGGGCAACGGGGCGGGGCCGGAGCCTGCTGGCCGCCGGGAGGTGGGGTCAGAGGCGGGGCCACACTCAGGGGCGGAGTCAGGTGGCCGCCGGGAGGTGGGGCTAAGGCGGAACCACAGCCAAGGGGCGGGATTAGTTTACCGCGGAGAGGTGGAACCGGGGGTGGGGCTAAGCTAGGGGCGGAGCCAGCTGGCCGCCGGGTGGTGGAGCCAGGGCGGGACGAGGCTAGATCTAGGGGCGTGGCCAGGCGGCCGCCGGGAGGTGGGGCCAGGGGCGGGGCCACAGTCGGGCGGGGTCAGACGGTCGCCGGGAGGTGGGGCCAGGGGCGGGGCCACAGCCAGCGGACCGCCTCTCGGAGCAGAGCGCAGGCGCGGGGCTGCGGCAGGTGCAGGCGCCTGTGGGAGCGAAGGGGGCGGGTCAGGGGCTGCATCTCGGGCTGCCCAGACCTGGCCCGCCGCCTCCCACTGCAGGGTTGCACTGGTTCGTATCGCCTCCCCCCACCCCAGACCCCGTGTCTGTCTCTTGCTGTCCCTCTCCGCCGCTTCCGTGTTTATCCTGCCGTCTGTATCCCCACCGCTCTCGGCATCTACTCTCCCCCTCGATTCTGTCACCCCCCTCTTCGTCTCCAACCACCCCAGTCCTTTCCTGTTAGTCCCTGTTAGTCCCTGTGCCTCCAACACTTAGAAGGGTGCACCCCTTCTAAGCCTCTGCCCCATTCCTGAGACTCCCCTCTCTGTTTCATCTCTCTGGGTCTCTCTGCCCCCCTCTAGGTCTCTGTCCCCTCTCTCTAGGTCTGTCCCCTCTCTTTCTGGGTCTCTGTCCCCCTTTCTCGTCTCTCTCTGGCTCTCTGTTCCTCCCCCCCCCCCCAGGTCTCTGTTTTCCTCTCTCTCTCTCTCTCTTTCTCTGGGTCTGTCCCCTGTCTCTGGGTCTCTGTCCCCTCTTTCTGGGTCTCTGTCCTCTTCTCTCTCTCTCTGGGTGTCTGTGCTCCCTCCATCCCTCTATCCCCTCCCCCTCTGGAAGCCGTCCTGACTGCGTCACTGCGGTGCGCGCAGGAGCCAGGGCTGCCCTGCAGACCAGGAGGTAGTTTTCCCTTCACTCCCAGGACTCCCGGACTCTGTCCTGCCCCCATCCCGGGATCTGCATCCTCCCAGCAGCCTCTGGGGGGACCCTGCCGCCCCCTCTGGTACAGCCCTCTGTGGCAGGGGACTGCACTGGCATGGAGGGAGGCTCGGGGCAGTCTGCGTAGGGGCTGGGAGCAGGGCAGTCACCATCCACCTGCTCAGCCTCACCTCAGGCACGGGACAGTTCCTGCGGCAGCCCTTCTTGTTTTGTTTTGTTGTTTTTCTGCAGATGTGGAGGAAAGTGGGGGGCTGAAGGGAGGAGGATGTGGGGTGCAGCAGTGGATCACCCAGACGCCTTCTGGCCCTGGGCAGGACTGACTTCGTCACTCTGCCTGGAGCCCGGATGCCAGCAGAGGATGAAGGGTGCAGAGTGGGGGGCGCTCTGTGAGCCTGGGCTATGCTCAGGGGCGGGGGACGAGGACCCCACGGAGGAAGCTGGTATGTGTGGGCGCCTCCAGGCTGTCCCCGTGCCTGCTGCTCCGCGCCTACCCTTTCTCAGCACCCAAGCACGCGGTTCCTGAAAGCTTGGATTCCCTGCTCGGCCGGTCACCCCCAGAGGCCCTCCGGTCACCCGCAGAGGCCCTGGAACGTCACCTCGCTGAGTGCCGGAGCTCCTCGCCAGCCCCAGGCCTGGGCTCCCCTCCAGGCCCTGCAAGGACCTTGGATCCCAGAGGAAATCTCTAGGCGCTCTCCATCCGCCCCCTCCCACACACACACCGCGCCTGCAGTCCCCCACCTCCAAATCCGGAATGTGGGCTGTCTCATCGCCCCGGTCCCCGGGCCTACTCACCCCAAGCCGAGGCGAGGCGGGGATGGGGGGATCCGGGGGCTGGCGATGGGGGGAGGGGTGACCCAGGCCCCGCAGCTCCGGGCAGCTAGAAGCTGCTGGGGGGGGAGTGACATCACCGCCGGAGGAGGGGCAGCACGGCTCCCCCCAACCCCGGGGGCTTCAGGCTCCGCCTTTATGGCGGCCCAGGGGTCCTGGAATCCCAAGGGGGGCAGAGAGGAGGGAGAGGAGATGGGGCCCCGGGCCGCGGGGTTAGAAAGCCCTTCACCGAGTTCAGCGGCACCCCCTCCACTGCCACCTGTCGCTGTCGTCGCGACCTGTCGCCTCCTACGCCTGTTGTGGCTGCGTCCGCCCCCGGCCGAGCGCGAGCATGAGGTGGACTACAATGCCCGTGGTGCTCCGCGGCACTAGGCGCCTGGGACCGGAGGCAGCGTGGGCGAGGGCCTCATGGGAATTGTAGTACCAGGCCCCCGCCAGTTAGTTGAGGAGCAAGGGTGATGATGATGATGATCAAGGCCTTGCCTTCCGCTCCTGAGGGCTGGACACCTGCTTTTCTTTCCACTTCACACAAACAAGGCGACTCGAGTATTTTGTTCAATGGAAACAACAGCTTTTCATTGGAGGACGGGGTGGGGGGGAAGGCGTCTGGCGCCAGGCAGGGCGTCACCCGGAGCGCTGTGCCTGCCGTCCCAGTCTGCGGGGACGAGCACGGGCCAGGCCCACGCGGGCGCCAGTGTCCGAGTCCCCGCGGTCGAACACGGCCACGTAGGGCCCCAGGAACACGTCGCCGAGGATCCAGAGGGGCCCCGCCGGCGGAGGCACGTCCAAGGCCAGGAAGCCAGACAGGCAGAGGCGGACGCCTCCCCGGGAGATCTGCAAGCCAGGACGGGGTTGGGTGGTCCCTGCTTGTCCCCAGCTCCGGGAAACCCTTTTCCCGGCTCCACCCTGTCCACCCCCCTCTCTGACGTTATTACCTGGATGACGTATTCCTGGGCCGTGAGGTTAAACCAGACCCCTCCAAGGAGGAAGGAGACTGGGGGCAGCTTTGGGATTTGCGAGCACTGGATCAAATACTAGGGTAGAAAACCAACAGGTGAGGGCGTCGGGATCTCACCCGTTGTGCCCCTGGCACGCGGGCATCTTGCAGTCCCCCACCACATTGCATCCTCCTCGGAGCAGTTACATGGAGCTTCCTGACTGCCTTGCACCCCGCAGCCTGCTGTCCTGGGGGACAGCCTGGCCTGCCCTGCTGCCTCAGCCCCTGCCACGCGTGTGCCAGCAAACTCCCTTCAGCCCGCTCAGGCCCTGCACCAGAGTGGGTCCTCACCTCCCCCGCCAGCAGGGGCAGTCCCCCGATGGCTGTGTGGAGGGCGCGGATCTCCTCCGTGGGTCCCGCGATGAGGGACGTGCCCGTGTCCAGGATGGCCGCACAGCCCTGGGCACAGAGAGTCAGCCCCCTGCCCACCTCCATGCTGCAAGGGGAAAGGGGGCAGTCATCCGAGGGGCAGGCACGGCTCTGAGTCCAGGCCTCTGCCCCAGGACGCTCACCGCTGCATGTGGACCTGCCAGTAGGCAGGGACAGTGACCGGCAGGAAGGTGAGGGGTGGGATGTAGTGGGCCGGGTCGGAGCCCCCCAGGACCAGCTCTCCTCCTTCAGGTCCCTCGGGGTCCCTGCGGCGACAGAGTGTGGTCAGTGGCACTCCCCGTCCCCTGAGAATGACCATGGGGGTGTGCCTCAGGTTCTAGCCAAGGTAGTGGTGTGTGCGTGAGCCTTTCTTCACGCAGGTTGGAACCCCGGGGTGTCTGGGGACACGGTAGAGCAGGTGTGCTAACGGGTCTGGCTGCTGCAGGGGACAGCCCCTGAGTGTTGCTGGGCACCGAGCTGGCGCCTTTGAGTGCTGGATTCGTATAGGGCTGGGGTGGAACTTCCAGGGGGAGGGGCAGTTCTTGACCCCTGGTGAGTGGTCGCCAAGGGTTGTATGCTGGAAGTGAGGGACTTGGAGTATTTAACTGGGTGGGGAATGGAATCATGTGTTTGATTTGGAAGCGGGGAGCA